CCCCGCCCCCCCCGCCCCCCCCCCCCCCCCCCCCCCCCCCCCCCCCCCCCCCCCCCCCCCCCCCCCAGAGAGTTTAAGGGGCGGACACCCATACCATTCCAGGGCGTGGATCGTCGCGCCAGCCGGTATGAAGTACCCATCATAGATATCGTCCTTCTCGATCGCATGCGGGATCCCAGTCGGGACAGGCGGCCTCCACCGGAGGACCTCCTTCGCCACGGCCCTCAGCAGCGGCAGGTGCTCCCGGTCCCCCCACTCGGGACACCGGCCGCCCAGCACGCCGTCTATCTCCCCCTGCAGGCGCTTCTGCCACTCCGGGTAGTGGCACATGGCGAGGATGAAGCTCTGGATGGGGCTGCCGACCGTCAGCGCCCCGGCGATGGCCATCAGCCCCACAACCGAGGTCGCCTCCCCGGGCGGCAGCATCGCCTCCTCCTCCTCCTGCTCCTCCTCCCCGCCCCGGTCCTCCCCTGCCTCCTTGGCGAGAGAGGAGGAGGCCTCCTTCTCCAGGAACGACCGCGTGAAGCTCGGCGGCGCCTCGCCGCGGGCCATGGTGCGCCGGACAAAGTCGACGTTGGCCTTGAGCAGCCTGCCCTCGAGCTCGTGGCGCCGGCGCTCCTTGCGCTTCCAGGGGCTGAGGCGCTCGGGCACGTGGGCCAGCCAGCTGATGACGTTGGGCAAGGCGCCGGCCGGGCTGATGGTCTCGAGGAGGCCGAAGGTGGTCTGCCGGAGGAGCGGCGCCGGGTGCGCCGACCCCCAGCTGAGGCGCGAGATGGTCCTGCTTGTGAACTGCTCGACCCACTCGAGGTAGTTGCTCGGGTCTTGCCACATGAGGTAGAGGAACCGGTCGCGCTCGCGCGTGGGGTAGGAGTGGAGGGAGGCGGTGGCGCTGGAGGTCATGAGCTGGTTGCAGAGCTTGCGCTGCCGCTTCCATGTATCTGTGATTGATGGATGTGTCAGCTTCTGGCCATAGGGAGGACTCCACCATGTCTTGGTGTAGTCACCTGTTCTCCCGAGAAGGGCCAGATATTCCCCGCTTGTCCTGTTGTCGGGGAGGTTGGGAATCACGGGCCGGTCGGAGTAGATGAGGCTTCTCTTGGAGAGGAGGTCATGTGCGATCCTCTCGGACGAGATCCAGACGTGGACGGCTCCGAATATCTCGATCTGGTAGATGGGCCCGTAGACCTTGCTCCATTCGTAGAACTTCAGCCATGTTGCCTCGGCAGGCACGTCGTGAACTCGGCCTATGAAGGGCAGTCCTGTAAGGGTATTAGTTTGACAGCTATCTCTTTTCCTATGCCTGTGCTCCAAGCTCCAAGCTCCGACCATACTCACCTCTTGGCCCCGGAAGAGGACGAACGCCTTCGGGGAGTCTCTTTCTGTTCAGATACCGATGTATCCCAAGAAGAGCCGCCCAGATTAATATCAGTAGCAGCAGGAGGAGATGCATCTTTTGACACCGTTTCAGGAGTCTACGTGGTCGTGGAACGCGAAATCCTTTCCTTGCGGCGAGCCGAGAGTTCCAATAGACAAGAAGGTGGACACACGCATGTCTCGACCGAAGTGATGATGTTATATTATGCCCTCCGATGCGACAGCTAATCCCATGTAGGTTAGCATCGCAGCTATTCCCATTCTCGCATTTCTCCTCATGTCTCCCCCATGTTTCCTCATGTCCCTCCCCCCATAATGCTGCATCACCGCAGGTCCCACACAGATAGGGTGTGGGTTGGTGCTGGCCAAGCTTTTCCGAGGCTGTGGGTGTATGGGTCTTGGGTCTGTGTGTGGATTGATATCCATCGAGACGTTGTGCATCGACCTGTGCGACTGACTGGTTGGCACTACACTTCTGACAAATCCGGTTCATCAGGATTGGTCTTTGTACGAAGCCGTTGTCGATGCTTCCTGGGAAGAATGGAAGCTTCAGTCCATCAGATGGACTAGTGGGGGAGTGCGAGGTGGCGAGAAAGAGTCAGATAGCGAGACCCACGGACAGTAGAAGCTCGCCGTCACGGCCGAGAGCAAGCCAGTGATGATGAGAGAGCAGGGGCCTGGTCTGGCTCTGCGACCGGCAGTGTCGGGATTCTCGACATGGATCCGCTGACATTGAGGAGTGGATAGAGGAATAGGTCGAGGAGCGGCCCGGGTTTGACCGGGATGACTAGCTCCTGGGACTGACTAGATCCGAGGGATAGAATGGCTAGACCGGCCACGACATGAGAGGGCCATATATCGGAGACTAGAGCTATGCTGTCTCAGGCTGTTGGCTGTTGATCTCCGCCTAGTAGGGTGGATGATGAACCCTGTGGAACCGCGCATATTCGGGGGGTGCACGCACATGGTTCTCGGATAGGGTATGTTCGGAAGCAGTAACTGCTCGACGTCATGCAAACAGGCAAGTCTCCCATGATCAAAGTTGAACCAGTGCACTGGGTCCTGAGTGGATATGTCTCATAGATATGGTCCTCCATGCCACGACCCCACCCCCATGTCCATGGGTCTGAGTGGTGACGTTGCACCCGGGGGGCTAGCAGGCGGTACGCTTTCGGACCGGACCCTCGCGCTTTGTTAAGTGCCGGAAGAAAAGGGATTCCGTTCATCCCGTCACCCCAGAACCCGATCCTGACGATGGCATGAAACTTTAATAATAACAAAGTGGAGGCGTGGATATGCGCAGCTGCGTCATTGGGTGGGACTTCAGGGACATGATAATCGGATGGTCTGGATACTGAAGCAACCCGAGGTGTGGTTGGACGGGGTGAGCTAGGGATGACGTGCATATCCAAGGGAAGCATGAGTAAGTATCAGACATGATGCTGTCGGAAGGATGGCCAGTGACTGCAGGATATACTGCACAGTAATGGGGCGTGGAGCAGGGAAACCTGCAGGATTCGGCGATACATGAGCTTGTCGTGCCTTGGCGTCGGAATGATCAACGACCCCTTTGATTCGACCATTGCAGGCTCGAGGCTCGTCAGGGTGACGCTCAGATGTGGATGTCGGGAGCCGGGTCGAGTCACAGGCCCGAGAAGGTGATGTTGAGGGGCTGGACGGCAAGCCGCAGCACTGATGCTGTTGCGTTTCCACCCCCACAACTCGCCCTCACCAGCGGCGGTCCACTAAGGTTTGCTAGTGATAGACTTGGCACCCTTTCCGCTATCACGGAGACGAAGAGGGCAGTTTTATGCGATGAAGATGTGCTGGCATGTGGCGCCGTGGCTTAGAACGATGAACCCCCTTGGTTAGCACGTAGGAGCGAATCAGATAACCCACCACGGCCCGAGACGTACCGTGCTCTAAGCCCGTCAGGGGCGGCACTGGATGGGAAACGTCAGCCCTGGCTTAGCAAACGTTGAAGCCTCGAACATGTGAATCGAAGTCGGGGGCTTGGAGCTAGAATACATACTTGATAGATGGCGCCACGGGTTTGATCAAGGGAGGGTGGCTGCGGTTGCGCGTGTGTTGAAGCAAGTGATGCTGACACCCCACCGTTCCTCTACTACAGCAGTATACAGGCAGGAATAAAGATTGGACCATGGGCGTCAATGGGCTGCATGTCAGCGTCCTTACTGACTTCGCCATGAGAGAACCACATCCCCTTGTCCAAGCTCGATACTTTCCATGAAAGAGGATCGCGACAAGCAGAATGCAGATGCAACTCTGCATTGCATGTCGGGAAGAGTGCAGACAGGCCATGACTGGAGCATATATGTCTTGTTGCTGGAGCTGAATAAGAGGAAAAGAGGCATCTTCCGTCGTATTTGGGTTGCCTGCGGGCGGGGCAAAGTCGTGAAGCAGAAGGTTCTGGCCGGCAGCAGCGGAGAGGAAGAGGCACTCCAGAAGAATAGTCTACCATAGTAATTGGACTTTGTAGCGGATCTTTCGTAAGGTGAAAGGCGACGGGTGGCAGGTGATGGGCAGTGTGCTCGATTCCATCTGCTGCCAACACGTATCATGTCCGATCGATTCTGGAGGCGGCGTTCGAACCAGAGATGGTTCGCTGGCCGAATCTTTGGTTCTCGGCCGGAGATACTGTAATTTTCAGCGCTCTACCTCGGCCTATTAGTGGACGTGTATTAATTCGACACCAATACTAACAGACTTTTGTATTTTATTGTACTGTACTAATGTCCCACAATGAACGGAGTTAGCCATTCCCCTGAAGGCGGACATATCGGTCAACAGTAGGCGGCCGCAACATCATCCCAACCCCTTTGCCCGATATGAGCGAAACACTCGCATTGCCGAGTAATAACATATCGATCACACACGCTCAGCGACTCGTCAGGCAGATGGCGGACCAAGCCTCGGCCGAGCAAGGATTATCTCTGGGGAGGAAGCAGTGTTTATCTCCGCACCTCTGGGCCAAAGCACCAGACTGAAGAATTCACTCTTAAACCACCTACCCCGACTCCCGACTCTTCTCCTTTTTATATGATAAGCCATGACGCCAAGGCAAATTTACTTTTTGTTCACTGGGCATTGTGGCTTCTCTTAAGGTCCTTAAGGTCCTTATGGCCGGAGCGAACTCTAGAACTTCTTCCCAACTCCTTAACCGGACAATTGCCTCCTATCCCTCGAATACAAGCACCATGCCTCCTCTCAAGGTCCTTATTGTCGGAGCGGGCATTGGCGGCCCAGCTGCTGCGTTCTGGCTCTCCCGCATTGGCTGCGACGTCACCATCGTCGAGCGCAGCCCCACACTCCGTGCCACCGGCCAACAGATCGACCTCACCGGGCAGGGGATCGTCTTATTGAGGATGATGGGAATCGAAGATGCGGTGCGGGCCGTCCGATGCCCCGAGCCTGGCATGCGGGTTCTCGACCATCTAGGCAGAAGCAAGGCCTACTTTCCGGTCAACACCAGCGGCAAGGGCCTGTCCCCGACACGCGAGCTCGAGGTCATGCGCGGAGACTTGGTGCACATCCTGTACGAGGCCACCAAGTCCCTCAAAGGGGTGAAGTACATTTTCGACTCCCACATCGACAGCTTCGCCCAGGATGACGAGGGTTCGCCGGCCGAAAAAGTCCACGTCACGTTCTCGGACGGCAGGCAGGATGACTACGACGTCCTCATCGGCGCCGACGGCACCGGCTCTGCGACGCGCGGACTCATGCTGGGGTCTTCGTTCCCGGATCCGCGCCGCGACCTCGGCGTGCACATGGCCTTCTTCACAGCGCCGTCCCGGGAGGACGACACGTACGACTGGACCGTGTGCCACATCCCAGGCGGCAAGGCGCTCATGACCCGCAAGGATAGGCCGGAGAACATCAGGGTGTACCTCGCCACCCGCACTGGGCGCGCCGCCCTGGACGCGGCGAAAACCCCCGCGGAGCAGAAGGCGGTATTGGCGGAGCTGTTCAAGGGCGCGGAAGGCTGCCAGTCCGAGCGGTTCTTGCGGGATTTGGTAGAGTCGACCGAGGCGGATGACTTGTACTGCCAGGGCTCTGAGGCAGATCCGTCTACCCGAAGGTGCATGGTCTCGGGGACGGGTCGTGCTTCTCGGTGACGCGGCATACTGCCCGGCGCCTATTGGGGGTGGCGTGGCGACGACGGCTGCGCTCGTCGGGGCCTATGTGCTCGCTGGGGAGATTGCGAAGCAGTGGAAGAAGAATGAAGAATCACCCGGCACGTTCAACATGGAGGAGGCGGCGAAGGAGTACGAGCGCATCGTGAGGCCGTTCATCACGGCCAATTCGCAAGTGTCACCCTGGATGATGAGGCTCTGGTTCCCTGAGACGAGACTTGGCATACGGACTTTCCACGCGGTTGCCGGACTTGCCGCGGCTTCGGGGATCGACAAGTTCATGGGTAGCTCGAGACGGCTCAAGAAGAAACACAGACACTCAAATACTCCGACTACTTTGGGTTAGGGTCGGGAAGATGAGGGCGCATGGATGGGGAGTCGGAATGTATATGGAGCACGGGTCTGTTCGTTGTCTCTGGTGTAATTATAATGGGATACTCTCTTATGTAGCTCGTTCTTAGATCCCTTCATCACCTCTGACCAGCAACGGCATATGAATCCTCCCCTTCGTCGCCGCAAGAAAGCTCCCAACCAGCTCATCCATCCCAACACCCACCGCAGCCTTGACCCAAGCATCCATCTCCAGCACCTCAAACGGAGCCTCCTCGGAGTGTCCCAGGAACTCCCTCAACCGCCCAACCGGCACCACCGTCTCGCCACTCTGGTGCCTATACACCACCCCCCGCCCACCCTCCCCCCTCCCCGCCACACTCTCCACCGCATCCCCGACAATCCGCGCAGAGATAGTCTCAACATCAACAAAGTCAAACGCCCCCGTCGCGCCCGCAAGATCCGGCACCGCCCTCAGCAGCCTCGAATACCGCAGCGTGTTATGCGTGATATCACTCCCAGGGACGCCGTCCCCCCCATCCCCAGCCGTGATGCTACTCGGCCGATGCACGTAGACGCGCCACCCCTCGACCCCAGCCCCAGCCGCGGCCCGCTCGAGCAGGCGCTCGCCCGCCCACTTGGTGGCGACATACCCGTCGGTTCCGTCGGTGGGGGGCGGGTGCGCGGCCAGGGACACCTCTGGGAGGGCGTCGCGGCCGGACAGGCGGGCGACGCCGGCGGTAGAGACGAGGTGGAAGGCGGGGGGCGGGGACCGCCGGCGGCTGGCGAGTGCCAGGCGGGCGAGGACCCTCGTGGAGGCGACGTTGGCGGGGCTGAGGGTGGCGTAGCTCTTGAGGTGCGACACGGCGGCGCCGTTGTGGATGATGACGTGTGTCTCGGCGAGGACGGATGCCGCTTCGGACGGGTCCATGCCGAGGAGTGGGAGGGATAGGTCGCCTGCGTGGGGGACGATTTTGGGGGAGGTCAGGGGTAGGCTGCGGCCGGGGCGGATGGCGACGCAGTGGATACGCGACACGCGTGGGTGGGCTTGGAGGTGGCGGAGGAGGCCGCTGCCGAGGAAGCCTGTTGCGCCGGTGAGGAGGACGGTGATGGGTCCGCCATCGTGGGCAGGGGGGGATGTTTGGTCGGGCTGTGGCCAGAGTTGGGGTGGGATTATCGGCCTGTCGTCGCCGGGGCGCGTCTCCTCTTCCCAATCGATGGCTTCTTGTCCGTGGGCTGTGCCGGAGAGGCGCGCGGCCAGGGCCTCCAGGGTGCTGGACTGGAACAGCTCGACGAGGGGGATGTCGACGTCGAAGGTCTTGCGGATCTTGACGCGGAGCTGCATGAGCAGCAGCGAGTTGCCACCCACCGAGAAGAAGTCGGACGTCTTTTTGATGGCGAGGTTGACGCCGACTTCGGAGAGCACATCCCGCCACACCCCCCTGAGCCGGCTCTCGGTCTCGGTCAGCTCGTCCGCAGCGGCATCATCGTCCTCAGTACCAGAGAGTTCGGGCAGAGGCAACGCCGCCAACGCCCTGGTGTCCAACTTCCCGCGCCCCGTCACAGGGAGACTATCGATCGGCACTGCCAGGGCCGGACGCATGTACGCCGGAAGGGGCAGCCCGCGGACAAGCCCAGCCAGGTAGGCCTCGGCATCATCGACGCCGTGCCCGCCAGCAAACACGACAAACGCGACGAGGAACCGTCCCGCCCCCTCCCCACCGCCACCGCCACCGCGCGCAACGACGGCCGCATCCGCCAACACGCCCTCCGAGGCGCGCAGCATCGCCCGTGCCACCTCCTGCAGCTCGACGCGCATCCCGCGCAGTTTGACCTGGCTATCGCCATCGGTGCGTCCCAGGATCACGAAGCGGCCGCCGCGGAGGAGCCGGCCCTTGTCGCCCGTGAGGTACAGCCTTCCCCGTCCCGCCGACTCGGTATTAGCAGCAGCAACAGCCGGCGGCCGCCTGGGGGATATGGTGTCGGGCCTGAACTTGGCGTCGGTCAGGTCAGGGTTGTGCAGGTAGCCCGAGGCGATGCCCGGTCCCGCGAGGGCGACCTGGCCGGGCCAGCCGCGGGGGAGGGGTTTCGCGTCGTCGTCGTCGACGATGTAGACGCCGTAGCCGGGGATCACCTCGCCAACACTGATTGTCGCGTCGCTCGCCGTGGTGATTTCGCGGTAGGCAACGTCGCCAATAGTGGCCATGATGGTGCCCTCGGTGGGCCCGTACGCGTTGACGACCCTGAGGCCGGGCAGGTCGAGGCCGGCGAACAGCTCGGCGAGCTGCGGAGTGAACGCCTCGCCTGCGCACATGGCCAGGCGCCAGGAGGAGGAGCAGCGGGCGAGGGCTTCGCGGCCGTGACGGATGATGGCGGCCATCTCGGACATCATGCAAATGGTGAAAGTCACGCGCTCGCGCTCCACCAGGGCCGCGAGGTCGGCGGGGTCGCCCCTGTTGTCGCCCATGACGAGGGTGCCGCCGTTGCAGAGGCACATGAAGATCTGGCACAGCGATGCGTCGAAGCCCAGCCCGCTCTGCTGCAGCACTACCTCGCGCCCGAGGTTCAGGCGCTGGGTGACGGAGGCGTTCTGGACCGACATGTTGATGTTTGTCAGCGCGATTCCCTTGGGTCGGCCTGTCGACCCCGATGTATACAGCACAAAGGCTAGACTGTCTGGTTTTGAGACGTCAATGACGATAGCTGTCGAGCTGTCCTGCGGGAGGACAGAGAGGTTTAGGCATTTCGTGTCCTGTCGCCGTAGCTTCATCGCTCTATCCTTGGTTGCTGTTTGGAAAAGCAGGAACCCGGCCATGGATTCCTCGATGACGGCCAGGAGCCTCTCGTCGGTGTTCCGGATGTCCAGAGGGACGTATATGGCCCCGAGCCGGAGGATGGCCAGGATGTAGCTGACGGTGTCGACGGTCGGCTCGCTCAGGACACACACAAAGGAACCGGCCGAGACACCCACTCGGCGGAGGGCACCGGCGATAGCATCTGCGCGGCGCGATACCTGATAGTAGGTTTTGGTCGAGCCGGTCATGTCCTTGACTGCGACCGCGTCTGGATCCTTGGCAGCCCACGAAGCAATCCGCTGGGACACGGTCTCCTTCCGCGGCCAGTTGCCGTTATCTAACACGACCGGACCAGTCCCCAAAGCCACGGCCTCGTCTATCATGGCCGGGGGAAACAGCGGGATGTCATCGACCACGATGGAAGGGTCTCGAGACAACACGTCGAGCATGTGCTTGTACGTGTTGACCAGTATGTCGGCGCCCTCGCTGTCGTACAAATAGTCGAGCATCGCAAAAGTAATCATGCCCGTCCCGTCGTCCTTTTCGTCGACCGAGATGGAGAGGTCAAACGGGGTCGTGGCATCGGCATAGTCGAGCAGCCCCATCTTGACGCCGTCCATGTCGGGCGTCCTCGTCGCGCCCATGCGGTAGTTGAACACGGCCTGGAAGAGCGGCGTCTCGGTCGTGCTCGCCGGGACGCCGCAGGCGCGGGCGATCTCCTCGATCGGGACCCCGCTGCGGCCCAGGGCGCCGTAGATCTTAGACCGTGTGTTCTGGACCATGGTGCTGAACTTCTGGGTCCCGTCCGGGACGAACTTGACGGGCATGATCTCGAGCAGGAAGCCGATGGTCTTGGCGAATGCCTGGTCGGAGCGGTTCGCGTCGACGATGCCGATGCACAGCTGCGGGACGCTGAGGAACCGGTACAGCATCGCCTGGAAGACGGTGAACCAGAAGTGGAACGATGTTGCGCGCGACCCCTGCGCTGCCTGTCGGATCCGCGCCACGAACTCGCGGTCGACGTGCGTCACGACGTCGCGCGTCTTGTAATGGGTGACCGCCTTCCTCACGCTGACCTTTGCGAACGGGAACAACGGCATCGGGTCTGGCGGTGTTGGGAACTCGGACTTCCAGTACTCTAGCCGTTCCTTGTAGGCGTCAGACGAGAGGTCATCGGCCTGTTTCTTCGCGAAGTCGATGTACTGCATGTTAAGGGGTGACCCAGCTGCGTCGCTGTAATAGTCGGCAGCGTCCTGCAGGAAGACCTGCCAGCTTACGCCGTCCATGACGATGTGGTGGTAGCCAAATATGATGGTGTGTTTCCTTGTGCTGTGGGACAGCACCGTCGCCCTGAGCGTGTCGCCTCTCTCGAGGTCAAAGGCGTGGCTGTGCATGCGTCGAAACTCGGCCTCCACCGCAGTTTCATCACTGGACGAGATTGTCTTCATCTGGAAGGTGGAAGTCTCGAGCACAGACTGGACTCCCTTTCCGGTTGCCGGGTCCGTCGTGAAAGATGTCCGCAAGATTTCATGCCGCTGCGTTACCGTGCGCAGTGCCTTGGCTAGCCGCTGGAGGTCAAGTGGCCCGGTGATGCGGTACGAAGTCGTGCAGTTGAATGGAGACTTGTCATCCAGGTATAGTGACGGGAAGTAGAACCGAGCCTGGCCCAGAGACAGAGGCGCTATCCGCACCACGGCGGGGCTGTCTTGCTTAGATCCGATGCCAACGACTGATTGCACGCTGCTCGGCGGCGTGTCTGCGCCGTCTGTCGCGTATATCGTAGACTTTTCCGAGTTTGGAGTGGCGGGGAGTAATAATGAGTCGATCAGGGGACTCGGCGTACTCGGAGATTGACCTGGCTTCTCAACATCGGACTCTATCCGTGCCTCCACCTCCACTGTAGAAGCTGTGGCTTCACGATGGTTCGGTCCGAGTGACAGACCAGCTGCAACTTCGGTACAGACTAATTATCCTCTCGGTTAGCCAATCTCTTCCCAGTGACTCGTGCTGGCTCTAAAACATAGGCAGTATGGGAAGAGCCTTACGTTGCCTGATTGTCGCCCCTCCCAATATCTTCAGCACAGGAATATCCTGCCCAGTTTCGGCCGAGAACCACGTGCGGATCTCGACAGCCACCAGCGAGTCGATTCCAAGATCGATAATTGGGATGCTGACACTAATCTGGTTGACAAGGAGCTAATCATGTTGTGTCAGAAAGGCAAGGGCAAAAATTTGGAGGAACCCGGTTCGGGCAGTATTCTTACTTTCAGGGTAGCAGCCAAGTAACCAGCAAAATACCTCTCCAGGATCTCAACAGCTTCATCCACACCTTCCGCAACATCAAGCTCGGCCCTAAGGCTCTTCTCGGCACTGTTCATCCCACGCTTATCCGCGGAGGCGCTCGACTTGATCAGGTGGGAGAATCGCGGGTTCCTGAGCCACACGGGGTGGTTCTCGGCCGAGGGATCGTATCTCTCCAGCCCCGTGATGATCTCGCACTCGTCCGGAGGGCCGTACTTCCCCGCCACGATGGCCTCGGTGAGTATGTGGTGCATGTCTCGTTCGGCGACCGGCATGTAGTTCTGCTTTCTCAACGAAGTCTCGACAGTCCCCTTACCTTCGTCGCCCTCGGCCCGGCTGATGTAGCCGATGCCGAGGATCATGCCCAGGTCGACGACGGAGGCGGCCAGGCCCCGCTTTCTGCGCTGCGCAGCGAGACCGACCATGTACTGTGATGGTGCTATCAGCAAAGTCGTCCCTTATCTCTATTATCTCTCTCTCCTTGGGGAGTATCCCACTCACCATGTTCGCGGCAGCATAGTTCGACTGACTTGGCATGCCAATCACCCCCGACAGCGACGAGAAAATGATAAAGAAGTCCAAGTCCCGAGAACCAAAGACCTCGTCCAAGATCCTGGATCCCTCCATCTTGGGTCTCAGCACCCTCTGCATGCCCTCGAGGCTCATATCAGCAAACAGCCCATCAGACAACACCATCGCCCCGTTAGCAACCCCCGCCACTGGTGGCATGGTAGATTCGACCTCGCGGCAGAGCCGTCCGACGTCTGATTTATCCGTAATATCGACGGCCTCGACGCGAACCACCGCGCCCCGACCGCGGAGCTCGTCCTTCCACGCGGCATCCTGGCTGGGGTTGCGGCTGGCGACGACGATGTGCCGCGCCGCGTTGCTGACCATCCACCGGGTAATGGACTGCCCGATCTGGCCGGTGAGCCCGAAGAGGATGTATGTCCGGTCCCCGCGGAAGAGCTGGTGCGAGGTCGTGGGGAGCTGCTGGATGGTTAGCTTCTGGTCGAGGGTCCAGTCGACGATGGCCCAGGGTACGGCTTTATGTCTATCGGATACCAGCTCTGAGACCGAGACTGCGGAGCTGGAGAAAGCGTTGGGGCTCTCTAGTGTGTAGGTCTTTGCGAGCCGGAGGGCCGACGAGAGGAGCTCGTCCAGCTTCACATCAGGAGCTATGGTGGTGGTGTGGATGCCAGACTTGACGACTGCACCTCCAGCTGCTAAGCGTTCCACTAATGACTTTTCCAGGGCACTGCCGGCAGTGGAACAGTCGATGTAGATCCCAATATTTCCCGGAAGCTGCGCCCTGACTTGCCTCTCAGAAGCCTGCGGATGTACAACAACAGTTGCCTCATAGCCTGCCACGGATTGGTCGGTGGTCAGGAAGATGACTTTCTTGCCAGCCTCTAGGACCGTCTTCCGCAGGGCGCGTATCAGCTTTCGGTCAGCTCCCACTACCACGGCGGTTTGTCCCCTGGTAATGGACGCCGTGATGGCCGAAGCTTGGATAAAGCACGCGAGAGCTGACAACACCTCCGCCTCGGAGCCAGGGATTAGGTCGCAGCGGATTGTGCCGTCTCTCTTGACGCCTAGACGCGAAGCATTCTCCGGCGAGAAGGCAACGAGTCGCGAGCCGTTTCCATCGGCGGTCCCTATGCAGACGTATAGTCCACCTCCTCTCTGCAGAACCACGGGATTGGCGGAGCTGCACTCGACGTCTAGCCAAACCGTACCGACGATATTCCCTTTTGTCGCTGATGGGTAGGGAAGGAGCTCGAGGCGCCGGGTATCGCCCTGGTCCGATGTCTCTATCTTCACCGGGTTGTCCGCGACGTTGACGGTTGAGTTGATGACCCGCCTGTTCGAGTTGAGGCGGTTGTTCCGTTCGACGTCGAGCACCACGCGTGGAATCATGACTTTTCCCCCTACAACTGCGAGCTCCGTCTCAACAGACCAGAGATGAGAGTCCTTGTGCACTCCGGGAAGATTTGAGACCTTGAGCCTGATGAACGATTCAGCGAGGAAGGTTTCGCTCCCTTCGATGGCATCCACGTCGATGAGCTGCAACGAGAGTTGCGGGTTCTCGCTCAGGATCGTTCTTCCCAGACCGACAATGGCGCTGTGATATGGATCGTCTCCAGTGGCTCCGGTGGTTACCCAGAGTATTATCTTGGCAAGATTGCAGATTTGCTGGAGATTCGCCAACGTCTTTGCGTCGAGGTGCTTGAAGGTCGGGGAATCCAGGTCTGCCAAGCTGACCACAGAGTCGACAGTCAATAACTGATCGGCGTCAAGATCCCGGAGAGACTCGGTGGTGACCACGTCGATGTCCCAAGTCCTCATCAAAGACCGTAGCTTGGAGATGACCTTTTTCGTCTTGAGAGTCCGCCCGCCAATGAACAGTACTCTGTCAGCTAGGCCAGGAAAACGACTGACATCCGACACCTCGAGGGGGTGCCGAATGAGGTTGATAACGTCGTCGGTAGCCTGCGAAACCAGGAGCACCCGCGAATTCTCCCCCAGCGTCTCACTATCGTGAACTGCCCCATCCACGCCCGTAAATCCGCTTTCCCTCAAAGTCTTATCCCACCGGACAGGAGACAACAACCCGCCCCGCAAATTGGCAGGCACACTCCCATCGAGCAGGCCGAGTCCCATCACGACAAAGGAATGCCGCAGCACGTCGTGCGCCAAGTCCAGGAATAGCAGGTAGCCGCCGGGGCGGAGCAGCGCCCGCACATTGCCCAGCACACGCGGTGCGTTCCAGCTGCTCCGGCGACTGCAGATGGCGAGCTCGAACGAGCCGGGCTCGACCTCCTGGCCGGCTAGATCTTCGCCCATCCGAAGCTGTAGGAACTTGACTCGCGGATCGCTTGTTTGTCCCTGCAGCTCATTCAGCGCTGTCGATGATTCATCTACCACAGTGTAGGAGCCGAAAGCTTCGCCAAGCTCCGCGACCAGGCTCCGGAGATCGACGTTTGAGTCGGCGCCGACCTGCAGTATCCTCAGGCGAGGGTATCGGTGGATGATCTGCTTGACAGCGTGGAGGAGCTGGGTGCTCTGGCGGTGGGCTCCGATGCCGTTTCTGAGAAGCTGCGCAAATAAAAGCCTTGTTGAGTGCAAGCCTTGCTGGTGGTTCTGGCCCCGATATTTCTTGAGCAGGTTGTCTCCCACGGCGGCTACCAGCTGCATGTCGATGGAGTCTCGGAAGGAGTTCTTGATGCTGGAGATGTGCGGCTGGTGCTCCGAACCTCGGTTCTTTGCCAGGTGGTGCTGGTCTTCCAGCATCGGCCGAAACGGATTGTCCGGGCCGGCTTTGTTTCCAACTGCGATCGACTTCTCGAGCTTTTGCAGATAATCAAACGCAACAAGGTCACAGGCATCAGCAACCTCAAGGTCTGTGCCAGAGTCAAAGATGTCATCCGGGACCACAATGCCCGAGTTGATATCTTCCTTCCAGACAGTCCGGAGGTACATCTGCCGGTCATCACTCGGCGTCGACGGAAGCAGCGCCGTCATAATCAGGTCCTCGATCTGGATATCCATCGCCCCGGTCGACCCGTTGAAGACGCTAATATCCCCCGTGATCGTCGACAGCAGAGACGGCTGCGCAGGCTGGAAGCCGGTCAAGTAGGCATCGACGCTGTAGGTGGGGGATCCGCCCTCGGCCACGACGCCGGCCATGGGACCAAACTTGATGCGGCGGATGGAGCTCGGCACGAAGGCGGTCCACAGGGTGCCGTCCCCGGGCGCCGCGAATGCCGCGAAGAGGGCCTGGAAGCAGACGTCGAGCCAGGTAGGGTGCACGGGCAAGCCGGCGGCGACGTCGTGCCTGGCCACCACGCCGGACAGCAGATCCATGCGCCGCTCGGCGTATATCAGGCCCTTGAAGGGGCCCGAGTACTGCAGCCCGATCTCTCCGACGGAGGAATAGAAGCGTTCAATGCTCATGTGACTCAGTCCCGGCTGGGCATCGGGGCGGTGGGGAAGCATGGGCTCCGGGTCATCGCCAGTGTAGATGTGCAGCTCTCCGTGGCACACCTTCCTCATGACCCCATCCTCAACAGCACCAGCACTGAGGCTAAAGTCCGCCGTGATGATCTCCCGGTAGTCACCCGACTTGCCCGCCCGCACCCCGGTCTCCCTTAGCGAGAACAACGTCTCGGTAGCCTCGGAGGCCTCGTCGAGGACGATGGCCCTCTGAATGACCAAGTCGCGCAGCTCAACCATGCGCAGCGCCCTCCCGCCACTCAAAACCTTGGCTGCCTCCAGGGCCATAACACAGTATGTCGCACCAGGGACGACGACCTGGCCCTGGACGCGGTGGTCACCGAGCCAAGGCAACTCCTCCAGCTTCAGCAAGTTGCGCCACCGCGGCTCGTGTGGGGTGTCGTCGGGCGTCCTGACCCCGAGCAGCTCGTGGGGCGGCTGGCTCCTGGAGCGGAACTGCTTGTTGAGCCGCGACTCCCGCCACAGGACGCTGTCGTGCTCCCACGGGTAGGTGGGCAGCCCCGCCATGGGGGTCGGCCTCGCCGCGCCTGCGGTGGCGGACGCGTAGTAGCCCGAGAAGTCGACCGACTCGGCGCCGAGTCGCGTCCAGATGGAGCCCAGGGCGTCCGAGAACGCCACCACGTCGTTCTTCTTCCGGTCCAGGACGCCCGCGTGCGGGATCTCGCGGCCGAGCTTCTCCTTGGCCGTCTGGAGGGTCGGGCCACGGAGCGCCGGGTGCGGTCCGACCTCGAGGATCAAGTCGAACGGATCGAGCACGTCGACCGCCTGGTCCACAGCCTGCGAGAAGAGCACCGTCTGCACCATGTTGTCACGCCAGTAACTGCCGCGGAGTTCCTCCGCGGTTGGAGTTCTGGACGAGCCATACACGCTCGACACCCAAGTGCATCGGCCATTCCCTGGCTGGACTTGGATGTCGCAGGACCGGAGAGACTCAACGTAGGCTTCCGCACAGGGCTCCATGTGATGCGAGTGATAGGCCGTGTCGACCTTGAGGACCCTGTTGAAGAGCCCTTCCGCATCGAGTCGCTTCTTCGCCGCCTGTACGGCATCCTCATCCCCTGAGAGCGTGACGCTCCCGGAGGCGTTACTCGCCGCCACCGCGAGTCGTCCTAGAAGATCGGGCGAGCTGCAGAACGACCTAGCCTCACCTATCCCGAATCCAACCGCGATCATGGATCCCTTCTGTCCCGCCCTCCCTCGGGCGAGCTTTGCGTGCACGCCCCGGTAGTAGGCAATGCGGATGGCGTCGACGGCGGATATCCTCCCGGCGGCATACGCTGCAGCGATCTCTCCGGAGGAGTGGCCGACGACTGTATGGAAGACGACGCCCGAGTCCTTCAGCATGTCAACCAGCGCAACCTGCACGGCTGTGCACAGCGGTTGCGAGATAGATGCCTCGTCCAGCCGGGACGTTGCCGGTTCGGCCATAAGCTCGGCCGTCAAGGACCAGGTGGGAGGATCAGGGAGGGCTCTGAGTGACTCCTCCAGCACCTCAATAGTCGACCTGAACCGATGCAAGTTCAGTATGAGATGGCGGCCCATCTGGGGCCATTGGGCGCCCTGGCCAGTGAAGATTCCCAGGATGCGTGGGTCTTGGTCGTTGGCGGGAAAGCTGGATCGGAACCCGAACTCGACCCCAGAGCGATCTTCAATTTTGGCGAGCTTCTTCTCAATGTCTGCCAGAATGTCCTCCTGTGTCGTGCCCGAGAAACAAATCTTGTGGGGCAGAGCAGTGCGCCGGGCTTGCAGAGTCCAAGTGAGGTGGGAGATGTTCACTTTTTCCGACCTCAAGAACTCGGCATATCCTGTCGCCATCGCAATCAGGGCCTTGTCGGAGTTGGCAGATAAAACAAGTGGTACGGCTGAGAAGTTTCTATCAAGAGCCTGCAGCGCTACCTCTGACAGACTGCTGCGCCCCTTTCCCCAGGGACCGCTGTCGTGTAGTTCTGGGACATAGGTCTCAATGATGGCGTGGGAATTCGTCCCCCCGAATCCGAAGCTGTTAACACTGGCTCGGAGTGGGTGGCCCTTTGGAACTTCGGGCCACGGAGTGATCTCGGTGGGAATACGCAGGTTGCCGTATGAGGGGCTCACACTGGGGTTGAGGTTCTTGAGGTGCTGGTTCGGCGGGACTGTTTTGTTCTGCATCGCCAAGCTGGCCTTGAGAACGCCGGCGATGCCAGCACACCCTTCCGTGTGTCCGATGATGGTCTTGATGGAGCCAACGAGAAGTTTGGTGTCTTGCTCTTCGTTTGGGAAGAAGGCAGACTTGATTGCTGACGCTTCTCTTGGGTCTCCGGCCTGAGTTCCGGTTCCTGGATAGTGAAGGGGCGTGTGGGTTAGTAATTACCTAGTCCACATAATCTCTCTGGAGGGGGGGTTAACTGTAAGAACAATGGCGCTTACCGTGAGCCTCAAAGTACTGCGGCCTGTCCTTGGGATCCAGGATATCCAGGCCAGCGTTTTGGTAAGTATCCCTTATCAACCTTGCCTGTGCTTCGGGGCTGGGAAGCGTGATGCCCTTGGTCCGGCCATCAGAATTGACCCCTGTCTCCCGAATCAGGGCCTCAATTCGGTCGCCGTCCTTGAGAGCCTGCGACAGGGTCTTGAGGAAAACAGCCGCAATTCCTTCACCGCGGGCGTAGCCATCGGCCCCGGCATCCCACATCTGAGACTTCCCTGACGGCGAGATCATGTGAAGGCTTGTTGCGCCAATGAAGAGGTCGGGCCCAAGCAGCAGGTTTGCTCCTGCGGCACAGGCAACCTCACTTTCGCCGCTGCGGAGGCTCTGCGAAGCGAGGTGGATAGCCGTCAAGCTAGACGAGCAAGCCGTGTCGACAGTCATGGACGGCCCCTTCCAATCGAAGAAGTATGAGAGTCGATTGGATACCAGCGATCTGGACGTTCCAGTTGCCTGGTACTGAGAAAACAACTCGGGGTCCCTGGCCTACTCTGAAGATTAGCTTCAGGGGTTCTCTTTACGAATGTGTTGAGAGTAATTAATCGTTAAAGGGGGTAGGTGCCTCACGTGGGTATCGGTGTAGTCGGCAGTCATGATGCCAACATAGGCCGACGTTTGACTTCCCTGGAGGCCTTTGATGGTGAGGCCAGCTGACTCCATCGCCTCGAACACGGTCTCCAGGAGCAGCCTCTGCTGTGGATCGATTGCCTCTGCCTCCCTCGGCGTGATGTTGAAAAAGACAGAATCGAACAGTCGTGGATCTTCATCCAGGAAGTAAGACTTGGTGACATTGCTGGCACCATGATGCTCTCCGTTAACGTGATAGAATCCATCAGGGTTAAATCGGGTCTCTGGTACTCGTCTAGACAGATCCCGAGGAGAGGCAAGCAAGTTCCACAACCGAGACGACGAGCTAGCATTCCCTGGGAAGCGGCATCCGCTGCCGATAATAGCAATCGGTTCCTTCGGGGGATGTGTATAGGTCGCCATTGCTGCAGATCCAGGCAAGCAACACACTGTGTAAAAAATTCCGACGATTGTTGTGGATAGACAGATAGAGAGAGGGTGATCGTGCTGAGAGATCCAAGAAGTTAGCCTCGAATCTCTCATCAAAGTTCAGTCAAGGTCGCCAGGAACTTGTCCAGCATTTTCACTCTTCGTGGCTGCAATAGAGTCCTGTAGCCCTGCATAACTCACCTTCCTTGATGGGCCTCTCGATCGATCTGGAGTCTATTTATTACCCCTTTTACCTTGAAACAACGTAGGATGGAATGGGCTCAGTTTCGGCCTTCTAAGTTCGACGGTGAAGCTCCTTGAAACAAGATGGGTGGCTTAGGAGACACACAGTGGGTGGGTGCACTTAAACAACGTTATAAATGTCCAAGCATCCCGTATCACCGTGGAGTCTGGTTTGGGGGCTGACGCTATCACCAAAGAGGCGTCGCCATGCCAGACTCGGACTCAAGCATTGCTGCAGTGTCAGAGTCGACGGCGTGCCGAACTCTACCCATCTTGCGTTGCGTCATCACCAGCGCTTATTGGGTCAACTGAACTATCTTGAACTGCATGTGCGGCGTAATCCCGTCATTGTCTTTATTACACCCGACTGGGTAGGTCTGGCAACCCTCCGAGGCTCGATGTTACTAAGAGGTGCCGAAGTAAGCCTGGCCCCTGTCGACCGAGGCCCTGCATAATGCCTGTTAAGCCTCCTACCGCTATTCACATGAACCCAACTTCCGTCTTCCTTCGGGGGGGGGGGGGGGGGGGGGGTTTGGGGGGCGTATCTACGCTGTCATTGCTGACATGGTACCAACAGCATGCAGTAGTTCAGCGTCAGGGACCTATGAAAAGCTCTCTGGCATGGCGCGCCTTTGACGTGTAACTACCTACTTCAAATGGACATCTACAACTCCGTCCGAAACAGATGAGGGTTAAACTACCTTCGCCGTATCAACCTCCGAACCGCTTATCGCGTGGCTCCCCTGACTGCACACAAGCTCCAATGATCCACCATAACGAGATGAATGTGGTGTTCATGTCGCATAACCCAGGTGCCGGACAGAGTGACAGGTTGAGAAACGTCAGCATCTATCTGAATGGCAGTCTGAATGAGCTTCGGTGACTTGCCCAAAAGCAAAGGCCGAGCTTACTGTTGCTACATGCGTAGGGAGGAAGTCGCAAGCAAGCAGTAAGCTGATTGGTCTACACGACCACACGTCGTTAGTCCGATCAATGCCACCATCTAATAATTGATCGAGCCGAAGGTAAGGAGAGTGACCTTGTTCCAAGTCGGCGGCTTGCAATATGGACAAAAATGAGTGCTGCTCCCCCCCAGACTCTTTAGAGAGTTTGCCTTCTATTCGTTACGCCAGACCAGGTCTCACATTCTCCTTCTCATTCTCAACCGTTGACGACTGCAAACATACGACCTCTTTATCCTTTCACTCGTACGAATCAATTGCAAGATCACCATCTCTATCTCCAGGCCTGAAACACCATGCATACCTTCTTCAAATCCGCCTTCTTCAACTTCGAGTATCTCCGGCTGCTCGCCATGGCCCCTTCCGAGGGCGCCGAGATCGGTGAAGCCCTCGAAGCCGCGGGGAAGATCAAGGACCTCGACCCGGAGAGCTGGTATGCGGCCTTCCTGGAGCAGGGGAAGAACGCCGAGGACATTGCCAAGGAGGCAGAGCGGTCAGGGGACCGTGTGAGCGCCAGGCGGGCCTACCTCCGGGCGTCCAACTACATCCGCGCGGCGCAGTTCATGCTCAACGAGGGCGCCATCGGCGACGACGCCCGCGTCCTGCCCGCCATCGAGCGCGCCATCGCCGACTTCCGCAAGGGGGTCCAGTACCGCGACGGCCAGACCTTCTTCCTCGACATCCCCTACGAGAACGGCCTGAGGATCCCCGGTTACCTCTACCTGCCGCACGACTCGAAGCGCATCCCGGGTTCCAAGATCCCGATCCTGATCAACTCGGGCGGCGGCGACTCGACACAGGAGGAGATCTATTTTGTCAACCCCGCCTTCGGGCCCGAGGTCGGCTACGCCGTTCTTACGTTCGAGGGGCCCGGGCAGGGGATCGTGCTCCGGCGCGACAAGCTGCCGATGCGTCCGGACTGGGAGGCCGTGACGGGGAGGGTGCTCGACCACCTCTTCGACTTTGCCTCCTTCCACCCGGAGCTGGATCTGGACCTGTCGCGCATCGCCGTCACGGGGGCCAGCATGGGCGGCTACTTCGCGCTGCGGGCGGCCGCCGACCCCCGAATCACGGCGTGCCTGTGTATCGACAGCTTCTACAGCCTCGAGGCCTTCGCTTCGGGCCGCATGCCCGCGCCGCTCTGGAAGGGGTTCGCGTCGGGCTGGCTGAGCGACGGCGTCTTCAACCTCATCCTGCGCACGCTGCAGCGGCTCAACTTCCAGGCCCGGTGGGAGTTCAACCACCTCAAGTGGGTGACGGGCGAGAAGACCGAGGCCGGCATTGTGCGCCGCATCCGCGACTTCACCCTGCTCAACCCCGACGGCTCCGAGTACCTGGCCAACGTCAAGTGTCCCACCTTGGTCACGGGCGCCGGCGCCAGCTGGTATTTTGACCCCTCTGCGACGACCGACAAGATCTACAAGTCCCTTACCAGCTTGGAGGACGGCAAGGAGAAGGAGGTGTGGATAGCGACCTCCATTGCTACGGGTGGCCTCCAGGCCAAGATCGGTGCTTTCCAGTACTCTGCCCAGAGGACCTTCTCCTGGTTGGACAAGGTCTGGGGTATTAAGAGGGCGCCCCTGAATGTTAGCAGTGATAATAACGGGGTCAACGGTTCTGCGTTGACGAATGGGAAAAGATAATTATGTGCTAATTAGTTATTCTATGGTACTCTGTTGCGATAATGAAGACAGGGTGTTTTTTTTTTTTTGCGTTTCCCGGCATGCGAATTGTGAAAATGAGTATCTAATTATTTACGTATCATTACGAACAACTTGACTTCGCCATATGCTACAGGCCATTCCTGGTCACTGTTACTATAGATGTGACTTGGACGTCGATCACTAATACAGGGTCTACCAAATAAAGCCAAGCGTACTCCGTAAGCAGTCGGCTCAGCTTGTATGTACACCATCGGCACGGAATACCATCGCTGTCGGCGTTCGCCCTTTTTGCCAAGACTCCGAACTACCACTCTCTCTTACATTCCCCCGGATGACAGTGCAGTCGGCATCGGACAACACCTCTCACTTGACACACTTCAGGCTGAGTTATCCTCCTCGAATCAGCATACGTAACACGCCCGGACAAAAGATTCCAGTCTGGAAGCTAATTATATGTATTATGTGTTGTACACGTATCACGCCAGGCTAGCACGGAATACATCAGCTTGAAGAAACCAACCATCTCCCCCTAGGATACCCATGGTTTGATTTTGACCTCGTCAGAGAATCCCTCAGTTGTATCCCACCCACACTTACCGTCGACACTCTCATCCCACCTGACAGTGCCATGGCCGACCACGAGGACATCAAGACACAGCGCTTGCTGCGTATGACGCTATCGCACTACAAGAACGAGGAATGCAGCGAGGAGGAGATGCACCGTTTCGCAACCGAAGACCATGCCGTCCACGCCGCCAAGATCCACGCGAGGCACGGAATGGAGGCTTACGCGATTGTGAGGAGCCCCCGCCCCCCAATTATCCAGACATGCTCGGGGGTCACAACGACCCATTGTGCTTACAGGCTCATCTCCAGGTCTTCACTCCCGCCAGCTTTCGCAAGGCATCCCGCGAGCTGAACGCCCAGCTCGGCGACAAATGGGTCATCCGTGACTATGACCTCCAGGTCGAGTTCTATTTCCGCGACATGTCTATCCTGCCGGGCCTGGCCGCGGATCCAGACTTCCAGGCCATGCAGGTCAGTGTTCAAGCCGTGTGTCTCGTGGCCCGGCGGTTGTGAGACTTCAAATTCTACTGAAGACTCATCCCTGTCTACTCTGGAAGGGCCGCTGGGTAACTATCGAGTTTCCTGCTAACTTTCAACCACCCAAAAGGCTATGGAGGGGCCAATCGTCAGTAGACTCCACGTTGAGCAGAGCATCGGATGGGTCGAGACATACATCAAGGATGGCAAGATTGTCAACGTGGACGAGAACGGGAAACCAACCTATCCCAAGTTCAGTGCCCTGAGCGTTGCTCCTAACAAGCCTCCTCCGGCTTGACATGTGCGGGTTCGCAGAGAGTCTACGTGTGGACTTGGACATGCGCTATAAATGGGAAAACACCGACAAAAAGGGCCATTCACAAGAACTCAAGTGGCTTAGAAATCCTAGTTTGGTAATTGTGCAACTTGATTAGTCTCCAATGGTCATCGGGTGTGTGTTCCCTAGCGAAGCCGTGAAGCTGTGAAGCCTCCGTTTTAGAAACTTGACATGATCCCGAATGGCATCGGGTGGGTAACGACCGTTTTACCCCGACTTGGTCATAGTAGCATACGTCATGTTGACTTCCCTTGTCCATTGTGATGCCAGAGATATCCGGCAAGTTCAAGCCGATGTGGCCTGTCCTGACTCGGCCAATGCACGTCGGACGATCTACAATAGGTACATGCTAATCAATTAATCAATCCAGGATTTGTCAGATCTCGGCGGGAGATCAGCCAACCATGTGACCCTAACAACAGGGCAGGCCGGCACCGAACCGAACGTCTTACAACATCAAATGCCGGCGCCGAACCTCTCGATGCAGGAGCACCGCCGATGCATCAATTCCTCGGCCAACGTACGAGTTAGCTAATCAACCACAAATTTGCCTGAGGCGGGGCATCAGAAACAGATGATCAACCATCACCGTAATTACGAACCTCAGCGAACACCACTGAAAGACAACCCAACATCCGATGACTAGTTATCTTGACTGCCGATAATGCCTAATGAACCGTTAACGAAGGCACCATGGTGGAGACAAATTTGTGGTTCGATGGATTTGAAATCACCTCGAGAGTCATACATGTTCCATCCGCTGAGCAGTTTAAATCACACAAGCAGCCCCTTTTTTGCGAAATCTCGATGGGATAATAGATCTTCTACAGACACCCACATTCTATCAGGCAGCCTCTTACCGGCCAGGACAGACCCCGATCAAACCCCTCACTCAGTGATCATTTCTCCTTCCTCTTCTTTTTTTCCCGAAACCAACAGAGCCGCGGGGGATAAGTGAAAACACGCAAACACCGCATCCCATAACAACACTCACAACCACAGCCCTCGCATCAAAACCATAGCCATGACCCCCCCACCCCCCGCAATAGCCCTAGCACTCCTCCGCCTCGCCCCCGTCGCCCTCTCCTCCGCCTCCCTAACCTTCGCCTGGGCGACCCACCTCTTCATCCGCGGCTTCGGCCCGGACTCGATCCCCCGCCGCGGCGGCGGCGACCCCTCCACCGCGGCCATCGCCGCCGCCGGCATGGCCGCCATGCCTTACTGGATGAAGCACGTCCGCGACAGCAGCCTGTGGATCATCTTCGCCACCTACGTGCCCAACACCCTCCTCGGCCTCGCCAACGCGTACGGGTACGGCAGCCTCCTCGGTGGGGGAAGGGGGGCAGGTTCTTCGGCGCCGGGCTATTACTCCTCCTGGGCGTACCTCCTCGGCGGCATCTTCAGCCTCGCCCACTTCCCGCTCACCTTCCGGATGCGCATGGTCGCGCTGAACCTGCAGCTGGCAAACGACAGGGAGCCCACCGCGAAAAGGGAGGTCGCGATCAAGGAATTCCTGCGGACAAACTTGCTCCGGAGCCTCGGGTCGAGCTTGACGTCTGTGGTGTCTTTTCTCGTGGCGGCGACGCTGTGGGCGGCGGAGGGGGTGCAGTGATGGCTGTTGAGTGGCCACTGGTTGTCGAGGGGATACTCGGACGGCCAAAATACAACATGGTGGCGGGTGATGGGGTGGGAGGGAATGAATGGGGACGCATAATAGCAATATTGGTGAAGATCGTGACGGTTGGTTAGCATGACAGAACGGGCCGAAAGGCGTCGAAAAGACTCGATTTTCGGGCTATCGGGGAGCCTATTTAAAACTGAGTTTGATGCTCGTCAGAGGAGCCAGGTTCCCTATTCCGTACGTAGTGTGCACTTTCTGTTTTCCCCCCCCCCCCCAATTGAAAGGCTTTAATGAGCAGACGGAGGTGGCACAAGACGGTAGATGGTCACTTATTGTTAGAGCCACCCCGCGTGCAAAAGAGACCAGGCAATCCCCTATCGTCACGACAGTTTGGACTGCATGATTGTCTTCTTGAGGTTATCAACCAGCTTCAGGGTCACGGCTTCTCGGGTGCGGATGGCCCGTAGAGCGAGATCGGGCACAATGACAAGCGACACGCCCCCAAAGCACTCAAAGTTGCCTCGATAGCCCAGCGTGTCCTTGGGGGAAGCCATCTCGCTAACAAGGTCGCGTGAGCGTGTCAACATGGCCTCCATGAGGTTGACGAGGAAGAGAGATTGGGTCTCCGACTTTGAGGAAAGATTGAAAGAGCCGATTGTCAAGCCAGGCATCTGGAACGGGTATTTAATGGACGAGTCGCCTTGCTTCCGTGCTAGACAGGCCTGCATCTGTCGGAATATCCTGTCGTATGTCTCGAGTAGGCGAAGGTAGTTGGAGAAGACCAGAAGTTCTGAGGCCGGGTCCAGAGTCAAGATCGAGGCGTCAGATTTGTCACGCGGCGTGTAATTGTTGTCCACGGGAGGCGGCGGTAGCCTCGAGCAGATCTGACTGAGAGTGTCGATGAATAGCTGCGAGACGTGGAATGTCTCATCTATGCCAAATATCTGCTCTTGCTCCGATTGCACGCTGCCTTCTGGCCCGACCTCGGGAATCGAGTTCAAGTGCTGCATCATACGGATGTTGAGGTCTGATAGCTTGCTGAGCCAAACGGCGAGGTCGGAATGATCAGGAGGATTACGGTCACGTGGTGAATCGGCCATGGCTTGATCCAGTGTGTCAGGTTGGGTGGGCCGAGTAGGTCTGTTGGTGGCGGACGTGGATGCCGGTGCTGTCGTCGAACTCGGCAGTGTTGAGCGGTTGGAAGATGATGATGCCGAGTCGCCGGATGCATGTGCGCCCAACAGCGACGAAGAAACCGGAGAAGGAGATACTCCGGTTCCATCGGCTGAGTGTGAGTGTGAGTGTGAATGTGAATTTGAATGTGTAATAACGCCATTGATCTGGGCTAGATCGAGATCAAGATCCATTCCTACTCCCATGATGGATGACAAAAATGACGGGTCGAGGGGAATAGAGAAGTCAGACAGTCCCGAGGACATGTTGGAGGCGTTGGCGTCATCGAGATTCCTGTGCCAGGGGAAAGTGTCTGCGTCTGGTTGGAGATCGCTGGAGCCGTGGCCATCAAAAATGGGCCCCTGGTCGGTCGACGGGCGCGATGCTGTTGGCATCTGTTGGGATTGAGGCTGCTCTGACCCTGTAAATGGTTGGCGTGTTAGTATGGATTGACTACCTACCTAAGGTAGGTACTTGGGGAGGGGGTAGTATGGGGATACTCGCATTGAGTTGGTCCCTGCGTCACATTCCCAGTTCCAGCGCTGTCCCACTCGGCTGCCGAGTTTGATGCTGTTGGTGCTTGTGTCTGGCGTCGCGATCTTGTTGGAGGGCTCGAGACACACTCGACTAGCGCGCGGAGACAGCGGCGGCATGCCTCGCCGTCATTGTCCCGTACACATTTCAGCTTGAACCCGTGACATCGGTCGCAGGCACGCCTCATCTGGCTTTGCCTCGACGGGTGAACGTGGATCATCATCATGCTGGCTGCGGGGTCGAAGATATCTGGCGCCATGTGCTTTACTGAGACGAATTGGTGGATTCCGGTGCTCGCCAGTCATCGACACAGCTTCTATCCATGGAGGTGCGTATTCAATCCATCTGGGGTGATGTTGAAGTTTGACTGAGGTGTTGCTGAAGGACAAACAATCGATCCAAAACCTTTGGCGGCGGGCGACCAACGCCGCGGCCAGCAGCCCCACATTTAGTGGGCAGCTGGTGCTTACATCAGTGCCCATGTACTGTACCTAGGTAGGTTGTACTGTACATGTACGGATGTACGTACTTGTACATCAACGAAAATTAAACCCACCATGCAGCTACGATACAGAACGATACCATCTAGAAAGATCATTGCAGAGCCAATTGGGAGCGCGAAAATGACAAGGTGAGTCTGCCGAGCAGTCAAAATGCCATGTCTCTCTTTAAACGGTACCCAAGGTACAGTACATGCATGCAAGTGGTGGGGCAAATGTAATTAAGACCTCCAGAACCCCCAAAGCTTAATTGCTAGCCTAATCGTGGCCGCGCCCATTTCCAACAAGAAGCCTGCATTAGGCGCAGCTAGCTGTTGCTTGGCTGCATCCAGAGGCGTAAATTCCCCCCATCAAGGTCCCGCCTCAATGATGGGATTTCGGAGAGTCCTCTGCACTGCAGATCCGATCACGACATACCTATGTACGTGCCATACACATAGCTAACATGTCCATCCTGCGCCAAGACCGTGATGAGGTCTGATCTGCTCAGTGGTCAGTGGCCAGCGTTACGTGGCGGTTCTGAATATCTGAACCGCTGAATCGCATCTTAGACTAGATCTTCGGCGTTGTACACGCACTTGCAGCTGACATGCCAATGCGACCCCGACGTCGCCATCCAGGCGATAATCATGACAGCCCCGAGTAAGCAGCTCTGAACCTCTCGTTAAGCCACAACTATCGCTCGTTCTAAACCACATATGCGCTCGGTCTGCGCTCAGTCTGCGCTGTTCTCAAGATCTGCACCGCGGAAGCCGGTTTTGGATATTCTTCGCGACAATATGTGCACAAGGAGGGTATCTTCAAGTCAAAACCATCAGCGCGGCGTAATATCATGGAGTAAGCAAGCATGAGATCATCGTGGCTGAGGTGGTCAGCTTACCCCTGCGTGGCGTACCCTTGAAATGGGTGGAGGCGTCCAGGTTCCTCGGTCCGGCCCGGACCCACAGTTCGTGGGGCTAGATACAGGTATCAGATCAAGAGCCGAGGCTATGTACTCCGCTCCTGGTTATCAACGAGTGTGACCAGTAGGTACGATGAGTTGGGAGAGAGAATCCATGGATTGTTCCAGTGATTCCATTTTCATAGCGACATGGCAACAATTCCTGATCAATCCAGCTTGGGCGTTTAGACATCTGGGATGGTGGCCCTTTAGCAAGCAGCAAGCCACAAGCCGCGAACGACCCGTCTCTCCCCTCTCTCTTCTCCTTCTCTCCAGCACGCCGCCATCCTTCACCCTTCCTTCCCCATTGCATGCATACCTAGTTCCGTTTTCTCGCGGGTGTGTTCTCACTCCCCCTGCTATTTTCTTGCATCGCCGGCAGCAACTATTAGGAACATTCGCAGATACAAAAGTCCCTTGAGACGTAGAAGATTGCCTGAATCGCCTCATTATATTGATGAAAGGTGTGCGCATAATACGATGCAGTCGTGAGGCGCTCGCTAGATCTGATCCTTCCCGTCCGTTTGGGGGGTGTGGTGGTGAGGGGACGTCTTGAGAGCTTATATAATCCACTCGGATTTGTGTTCGGTAGGGCCCGTGCACGTTCGGCGATTTACCGAAAAGGAAATCGACTTCGGCGGATCCGAGTAAGGTGGGGCCATCGGCGGCCGAACCACCGGAAAGGGTAATGACACTGCAGGTCCGACATGTAAAGTCAACCACACAATAGTAGGTGTGGAAGTTGATGCAATGGCATTGAGCCCACGATGATAAATCCAAAATCTCCATGCCATCCCTTTGACACGGTGGGGGAGGGGAGGTGCAAAGTGGATGACAGTAGAGTTCATCCCGAAGGCGGTGGGAGGGTTCGAGGGCATCAATGATACGTACCTAGCCCCGAAGTACCTAGGTAGGTACCTCATCAGTCACTCGGCGCGGCTGACAAAGCTTGGTTTGTTGACTGACGGGTTATCAAAGTCTTGCGTCTACCTATCTACCCAGGCCAGGTAGGTCACTGCCATTCTCGAATCTCCATCACCTCATCTACCTTCCCACTCCTTCCATTTTTTTCTCCCCTCAAGTCAAGCCACCCATCCACACCTCGCCGTCGTTTAGCCAGCTGCACCCCACGGTGTCATCACTTACACGTAAACATCCACACCACCACCCTGCCGAAAAGACCAGTCCAATGTCTGATTCGGCAGAGGCTCGGCCCCCAGCCAATCCCCAGAAGGATGCTGCTGCTGAAGAGAAGCAGCTGAATGTGCCAGCCAAGAAGGGCCGCCGCTTCTGGGCCATTTTCCCTGCCCTGATGCTCACCTCGATGCTGGCCGCCGTCGAGTCCACCGTCACCTCGACTGCGCTCCCCTTCATCGTCCACGAGCTCGACGCTGGCGACCTCTACATCTGGTTCGTGAACGCCTACTTCCTGACCAGCGCCGCCTTCCTCCCCCTCACAGGCCAGCTATCCGACATCTTTGGTCGACGATGGGTCTTCATCAGCGTCGTCGCCATCTTCACCCTCGGCAGCGGAATATCGGGCGGCGCCACGAGCACCATGATGTTGGTCGTCGGCCGGGCAGTCCAGGGCATCGGAGGAGGCGGCATCAACCTCTTCATCGAGCTGGTCATCAGCGACCTGGTCCCCCTGCGGGAGAGGGGCTACTACATCAGCCTCCTCTTCGCCGTCTTCACCCTGGGGACAGCTATTGGGCCCTTCGTCGGCGGGATACTCGTTGAGCGCTCCTCGTGGCGCTGGGTGTTCTACATCAACCTGCCCATCGGCGGCGCCTCCCTCGTGCTCCTCATTCTCTTCCTCCGCGTCAACTACGACCGCTCCACCTCGCTGCAGACACGACTGAAGCGCATCGACTACGTCGGCAACGCCATCCTGATCGGGGCCGTGACGTCGGTGCTCATCGCCCTCTCGTGGGCGGGCACCCGCTATCCCTGGTCCGACTTCCACATCCTCGTCCCGCTGATCCTGGGCATCGCGGGCCTCGTGCTCTTCCACGTCTACGAGATGGCCCCCTGGGTCGTGCAGCCGACGCTTCCCGAGCAGATCTTCAAGAAGCGCACCCCGGCCGCGGCCCTCGTCATCGCCTTCATCAACTTCATGCTCCTCTTCTGGGCCATCTACTTCCTCCCCGTCTACTTCCAGGCCGTCCTCGGCGCCAGCAGCACCCAGTCGGGCGTCTGGCTCCTGCCCACCGTGCTAGTCGAGGTGCCCCTCAGCGTCGTCGGCGGCATCATCGTCAGCAAGACGGGCCGCTACCGACCTCTGCACTTCATCGCCTTCGCCTTCATGCTCCTCGGCTTCGGGCTCTTCGCCCGCTTCGACCGCCACACCTCGACGGCCGAGTGGGTTGTGGTGCAGATCATCCCAGCCATCGGCGTCGGCTTCATGATGTCGACCAACCTCCCCGCCGTCCAGGCCGACCTGCCCGAGAGGGACGTCGCCGCCGCCACGGCCGCCTTCGCCTTCATGCGCGCCTACGGCTCCATCTGGGGCGTCGCCATCCCCGCCGCCATCTTCAACGCCCGTTTCGCCGCCGAGGCCCACCGCATCGCTGACGACTCGGTCCGGGGCCTGCTCAGCAACGGCCGCGCCTACAGCTTCGTCACGGCCAAGCTGCTCGACGGCTTCGCCCCCGCCACGCGTGACCAGGTCGTCGAGGTCTTCACCCTCGCACTCAGGACGACGTGGCTCGTCAGCATCGCCTTCTCCGCCCTCGCCTTCCTGCTCGTTTTCGTCGAGAAGGAGATCGTACTGCGCACCGAGCTCGAGACCGAGTTTGGTCTGCAGCAGGACGACAAGAAGAAGCCCGATGTCGAGGATGGGGCCAACAAGAGGAAAACGGCCGAGAACGGCGAGCTGGTCGGCAAGCGCGAGAAGCCCGTGAGCGGCGAGTCCGAGTGAGGGGGCTCTTGCCGATCGGCAAGCTGCCCGGACAGGGACTTGGGGACTCGAAAAGATATTGATTTGCCCCCATAGAACGGACGGTGCACTTGGCCCCGCCCCACATAGAGAGATGGGGGGCCTTGGTTGTAATAGTAGGACGGGACATGGTTGAATCTGAACATCCGCTCTGGAAGTAATTACGGTGCCAGGAGTACACGGGAAAGATTTGTACTGTACCATTAATGACCGATGCTCGAAGGCATGCCATAACCTGGCAATTATTTCCCATGAGACCCCAGGGTGCGCTTGGAATCACCGAAATATCGGCAACGGAGGGCAGCAGAAGGGTAATCTGCGTATAATGTTCATAAAAAATGCCAGACGGATGCACGAGTCTGTGTGTTTAGGGCAAAAATTTATCTTTTTGGCGTCCGAATCGGATCTACCCGGTATCCTTCTACCAGCTAACTACCAGTCAAGCACGTACCTCCCTTTTAGATAAACGACATCAGGCTCCTTGAGCTGTTCGACAAGCAATGATTGGGGGCGCGGCCGTGGCAATAGCTCGACAAGCTGCCAACAATACGAATCCAGCCATCACGCGGATGTATGGGATGACCAAGCCAGAGAGGGAACCCCCCTGAAATTGCCAGCATCCTTTTCTCCGTACGATGGAACGGGGAACTCTCCCCCCAAATCGCAATCCCCGAGTCTCCACGACCGGGGGCCTGTTTGACACTACCCATGACCAACAGCCGAAGGGACAGATTTACATCCTGTTCACGCGAGTTAATTACTTAGCCCATACAGCCTGCGAACCGGGGGTGAACATACCTATCGACAGGACTGAGTCCCAGCAGGCGCATGCCGTTGGACAAGACCGTCCGCGCAGCGTCGTACAGGGCCATGCGGGCCTTCATCACCTCCCGCTCGCTACCCACTATCCTGAGATGGTCGTAGCTCCCGCTCAGCGCGTGCGTCATCTTGAAGAGGTAGGTCAGGACGTTGGTCGGCTCCAGCGTCCGGAACAGGTTCTGGACGACGTCGGGCCACTGCGCGATCAGGCGGACGACGTTGACGGCGTGCTGCTCCGTCAGGAGGGACAGGTCTGCCGACGCCAGGTCTTCCTTGGTGAGACCGGCGCGTCGCTCGATGGAGCAGACGCGAGCGTGGGCGTACTGCAGATACGGTCCGGTGTCGCCCTCGAAGGAGGTCATGGCATCCATATTGAAGGTGTAGTTGTTGATCCTAGATGGTGGTCAGCGTCATGTCACTGAGGCATGGTAGAGAGGAGAGGATATATGGTAGTGGGGGTGGGGGTAGATATATGGTCCTGTCTTGTCATACCTCTTGCCCGACATATCTTGGGCCATAACACTGCTGATACCGAGGATGTCCGAAGTGCTGATAGGATCCGCGACCTGGGAGTATTTGTCTTCGTTCTTCTTCATGACCTCGTGCATCTTGTCGGCAACATCCCGGAGGATATCATCCAAGAACTTGACGGTGCCCCTCCGGGTACTCATTCCGAGCACGAGCCCGAAGTTGACATGCTGGCACTTGTCGGCAATGTCCTTGTGGCCCAGGAGCTCGATGATCTTGAAGAGCTGCTTCAAGTGCAGGTCTTGCGCAGAGGCAACGACATAGATCATCTGATCGAACTTGTACTTCTCGTACCGGCCCAAAAGCTCACTGATATCCCTGGTGAGGTAGAGCGCCGTGCCGTCCTTCTTCCTCACGATCGGGCGTTCGAGACGCTTACCCTCCTTTCCGGGCAGCAATTCGGCAAAGTTGACAATCACGGCGCCCTGGTCAACGGTCGTGATCTTCTTCTCGGCCATCTCCTGGGCCGTCTTCTCCATCGCCTCCTCCGTGACCTGGCTTTCGCCGCTGTACTCGTCGAAATGGATATTCAGGCGAGCGTAGGTTTCCTTGTACCGAACAATGCTGAGATCCCGGAACCGTCTCCACTGGGCCAGAGCGGTCTCGTCGCGATCCGTCATCTTCTTGAAGTACTGGCGCGCCTGCTCGTCGAGAGTGTTGGCCTCCAACTCGGTGACGTCCTTGCCTTCGGCTTTCTGGGCTTCGATGGCCTCCTTCTCGGCCGTCATATCCTTGTTGATCTTGACGTAGAGCTCGTAGAGATGGTTGATGGGGTCCTTCTTGAGCGCTTCCTCGTCGCCGTACTTCTCGAAACCAAGCGCGAGAAGACCGTATTGCTTCCCCCAGTCACCGAGGTAGTTGATCCGGACGACATCCCACCCAGCGCTGGCGTAAATGTTCGCGAGGAATCCACCAATGATGGTGCTTCGCAGATGGCCGGCGTGGAAGGGCTTGGCGATATTTGGCGAGGAGAACTCGACCACTATCCTCTTCTTTCCCTTGCTGGGGTCTGACGGGTCTCTCATGCCCAGGTACTTATTGCAGCCATACTCGGGTCCTAGTTGTTGGATCTGGGGGATAATAGACTGGGCGAGAGGCACCCGCTTGCAGAAGAAGCCGATAAAGTAGTTCGTGACGGTGGGCTTATCGAAAAGAGGGTCTTCTTCGGGAAACTGGTAGAAGGACGGTCAGAAAATACAGCCGCAAACGTACGGTTCGGGGGGGGGGGCTTTGGGCCATATCGTACATTGTCGACCCATTCCTTCGCCAGCTCGTCGGGCTTCTTACCCTTGACACGAAGAGACGGAGCAGCGAGGACGAAATCTCCCTTCTCCAGGCCCGAGGCCCACTGTAGATTGGGATAGATTATTTTGTGGTCGACACCGGTTATCTTGTGGAGGACATTGGTGAGATGCGCCCGGTAGAAGTCGAGAGGGTTGACATCAGGATGGCAGTTGGGGTACGTTGTCGCAATCTCAGTCAGAGACAGGTCTTTGACGTATTTCGACAGCTGTTCAATGCCAGCGTTTGAAGCCATGGTTCTGTACGTGCGAGCAGCTGGTCGCAAACAGTTTTGTTTATTGGCAGGTTCACGCGACACAGAGAGGTCGAACAGCTTGGTGGTGTGGATGGCGGGGTTGTTTCTGTTGAAGTGGGGAAGCCGGGGGGCAAGAAGAATCGTGGTTGACAGAAACCGGTGCGCGTTCACGGAGCGGGGTCGAAACGAAATTGGGAGACGAAGAGAAGACGATCCAAAAGAGAGCGACGAACAGACTGTCATGGAGAAGTCCGCCGGATTGGAGGGTGTTGAATATTGGGCTTGGGACACAAGCCTGGAGTCCCAATTGCTTGACTATGACTCAAATTTTTGTTGCGGAGGGTGTGATTAGGTAGTTTCTGACTAACGATGACGGTCAAACGGTAAAAGAAGGCGACCCAAAAAAAAAAAAAAAAAAAAAAAAAAAAGGAGTGAGTCGAAGCACGTGCCTCGTTACCTGTCGCGGGCCTCTACACGTGTACTGTTGGGCTCCCCCTATGCTATTTGCACATAAAGAGGGCTTGGCCAGTAGACATAGGGCAAAAAAGGTTCAACTCATGAACTTAATTCTGTTAACCGAACTCTGCATCAAAACAGGGAAGCTCTTGGGCCTTGTCGGGTACCTACTTTCCCTCCCGTCCATCCCGTCCCCGTCAGTATCGAGACCGGAACTAGGACGATATTTTATCCGCTTCACCTAGGTGATAGCCCAGGCGCGGTCGGCGCCGTGACACCTCACCGAGCTTTGTACGTGTTCACCATAACACCAAAACAAGAACGAGGCAATTTGGGATATGGACAACTTGAGAGGGAATAAATACATCACATATATACAAAACTCGAGGATTTTCCCTTCCCTTAATTATGTCCAAAGAATCTCATATCCCTCGTTCCCGAACACGGGCCAGTTGTTCCCACTGCCCATGAAGCCAGAAGACTCCTCAAAACTTCCCCCCGATTTGGTATCACATAATCGACGACTTGTCCATATAGGACGGCTAATACAAAAGAATATCCCCCAGGCAAGAATCCCATCAGAAGCAGTACTCCTCCACATGTAGGTGGATACCCTGCGCACCGGTACCCTTGTGTACCGCCCTCTCGTCCGACAGCGACGCCACGCAGTTGCGCACCCTCGCGGCGAGCGACTTGCCCCCGCACGCGATGACCGACGTCTCGCCACCCGTCGCTTCCACGGGTCCCCGGATGAAGGACTCGATGTCGGGCCGCGTATCCAGGTGGACGACGTGCGAGTCCGTGCTGCAGCTGCTGAGCCGCCGAGCCGGGGACTGCTGCGCCGCCGCGTTCTCGATGTCGTCGACCCCGGCTGTCTTGTTCACTACCTTGGGCACTCCGGCCACTCCGGCCACCTCGGCCACCTCGGGGACCTCGGTCGCCTTCTCCGTGGCCTCCTTGCCAATGGCGGCGCTGCTGCTGTTGCCCGATGATCCCGCCGACACCATCGTCCGCGTGTTTGTGTCTCCTCCGGGCAGGCTGGCGCCGCGGGTGACAGCGATGTGCACCGAGAGCTCGATGCCAACGTTCTTGGCCTTCTCTATGAGCTCGTGCAGGCGCCTGATGTAGAAGTCTATCTCGTCTCCCTGCTTCGCCGCGAGGAGGAAGTCGATCCGCTTGGTGCATATGGTCCGCTTGGCCTGGAGCACGCTTTCGAGGATGGGTAGCGTGAATGACGCCCCGGTTGAGGCGGAGATAAGGATGAGGGTCTCGTAGATGTCCCACTTCGGGGCGAGGCCGTAGGGTCCCGATACGAATACCGTGACCGCCTCCTTCCGGCCAGCAGCCTCTGCTTTTGCCGCGAAATTGTGGAGGCGTCGAGAGAAGCCATCGTGCTTGCGAACGACCAGCTGGATGCTGTTGCAGATGCACGTCTCGGGAAGCTGATGTGCGCAGGCGATGGTGTACGGGTGGGTCTCCAACAGTCCGACCTTGGGCATCCAGAGATACAGGTGCTGTCCGGCTCGCCACCTAAAGTGTACATCCTTGACGGTAACCACCGTGATCGAATCTCCGACAGACCGTAATTGCGCATGATGCCCAATCCTCTGGCCCCCGTTGCAGCGCGACATGTTCGGCCTGAACTTGACATTCTGCCACACCAGCAAAATGATCCGGTACACTCGGTCGAAGCAAAGCGCGGCAATAGCAAGCCAGACGTTATAGCGAGCGTATTCGGGGATGTGTACGTAGACGAGCCAGAGGAAGATGACGGCGCTGACGATATGCTGCAGCACGAACACCTCGTAGGCCATGCTTCGGATGGGCACAAACGAAGATACGAGCGTCCAGAGAAGAACGCCCCACGCGCCGAGGCCGTACTTGATCATGGGCATCATCTCAACCATGTCGTCGAACATGTCAGCTATCGCATACTCGGTATAGAAATGCCAGCCGTGGACTGATGCTGTGACGAAGATGGTGCGCGCCACCCAGCGATGGAACCAGTTCAAGCGCTCGTAACTCGTCCCAGCGAAGAGCCCGAGGATGCTCGCTCTGGAGGAAAGAAGATACAGCACAGGGACCTGCATGATGGTGACCCAGGCGTTGCGGAAGCCGATGCGCTCCCAGAAGTTGAAGTCGTGAATCACGGCCCCCTTGGTCATCATATAGATGATGATAGCCCAGTAGATGAGCAGGACGATGACGCGCCCCGCGGGCGGAGGCGTCAACCACGTGAACCACCGCACGCCGATGTGGAATTGCGGATAGCCAACCTCGCGACCGATGGCGGTCAGCGTCGCCCAAGCCTTGAGGAGGCCATTGCTGGGTCTCGTTGGGAACTCGACCGAGTTGGCCGCACGTCTTCGTAACCTAGAGATTCACAGTGTCAGATCACATCCGGGGTCAGTGTCTCCTTATTCGGCGCGGGATGACCCACCTCGTCCGTGCCTTGTAGAGGTTGACAAGTTGCAGAACCGCCAGGAGGCCGAGAACTCCGATGATGATGTACCAGAAGTCGAGGGCTAGTGCCTTGTTCGTCGTCTGGAACATATTCGCCCCCGCGGTCATGTCCATCCCCTGCATCTTGAATGCGCTTGCGACCTGGCCGGTCACGGGGGAAGTTCGAAAGCGGGTATCCTGCCGCCGGAGCAAGTGCGGAGCAGCGTGCGGATCAGAGCCAGAGAGAGAGGGCAATGAGGCCGTAAGTCTCGTAGAGATCGATCGAGATAATCCCTCCCTTAACAGCCTGTCGCTGTCGGATTCATGTGTGTACTGCCACAAGGATATCGAAGACGCTCATCGAGTCATTGCAAGCAAAACACCAGCGGGCCACTCGGCACATAAAAGGAAGAAAGAAAGGCTTGGCCAGTTGACTGTGTTCCGAGAAACCGAGGATTAGATATTGGGCTGCAAACAAGATTGTTGTTGGACTGTGACGCAAGGAATTGATGGGCGAGGCGTGCTATGGATGACCAAAAGCACTGCCGGCAGTGGCCAAAGCGTGTTGGTCTGCGATGTCGACCTTGCTCTCTGCCTTTATCCACCACAAATGTGTCGTATCCGGGGGGGTCACTTGGGCAGTGGGTAAAGCGGTAACGAAGAATGGGCAATTTGGAAATAGCGTAACAATATGGGAATAGCGTGGAGGGCGTAGAGGGCACTGTTGTGGAGGTTTGGCGGTCCCAAAGATTCGTTCACGCCTTTATTAAGTTACCCTAACGGCCAGCCCGAACTTCATTTATCCTTAATGAATGACGGGATCAACGGAGAACGGTTTTTTGTAGTATTGAGCAGGTTTCGACAGCACAACAGGCTTGCCCTGAAATCACTGTGCTTTCCATCCATATGCATCCATAATGTAATCCACAGTCCGTACACTGCGCAGTAGGTTATTGAACAGGGTCCATCCAGCCAAGAGCTGGGTGGTGGGGGACAAGACAAGAGGGGAGGGGTTGTCGCTTGCGGTTCGGGCGCTAGGACGCCACAACTTGCTCAAATGCTCTCAAATCCATCAAAGCTTCTGCAGGGAAAAACCAGCTCAATTGCCCGATTGGGGAAGGCGTCGAGGTAAGACGGGGATCAAGAGCGAATAGTGTCGCACCATGCCCCACATTGCCATGCTTTTTTTATCGACGCTACCTAGGTACCCTTTCCCATCCCGCCGCGTCCGTCTTCAGGCCCCTCCCCTCTTCTATGGTTTGTTGACACTTGAGCATGTTTGCGCTCTCCACCAGTTTCTCGATGGCGCACTTTCCCGGTGCGTCAGGAATGAGCTCGCGGCTCATGCAGAGCTAATTGAAAGTGATCTGATGTGAGACGGATAGGGACCCGAGACAGGCAGCTTGGGCTTCGTCTCCGGATCCCTGGGTCTCCCCTTTCCTACCTTAGTAGTGTAGGTCGTCTTATCAATTTGCTCGTGTCTCGTGTAAGGTGTGTGATGCTAGTGAAACGGTGAAAGGAAACCCGAGAACGCCTGGCGCTCCTGCGTCATCGAGTCCAAAGTCCAAGCTTTACATAGAGGTATATCAAGCTGGTGCCGAATCCCGCCCTGCCGTCCCATTCAGCGTCTCTTGTTCCCTCAACTTTCTACTTCCAGGCACTGCATCCTTTCGCCGCAATCTTCCCCACACAGGTACCAATCTGCCCGGCTTGGCGGCAAAACTAGGTTGCACTAAATCTGACAAGGCTCACAAGCCACCGCGCCACGCAAAGATACCGTACCTGCCGGAGCGGACCTACCCCTGTTCACTTCCACCTTGCTCTCCAGAAGTATAGATTGCTAGCATTCCCACCTCTCCGCGACAAATCTACCTCGGCCAATTGACCCGAACCTGCGTCATAAAGCGAAAAGCAACAGTGAAAGAACGAGAAAACAAACAAACAAACCCAAGAAAACATGGCGACCTTCCGATCCCTCGCATCCGCGACCCTCCTCCTCGCCTCTGCCGCGAACGCGCACTTCACCCTGACGGTGCCCCCGTCGTTCGGCTTCGACGAGGACAAGGAGGCCTCGGCGCCCTGCGGCGGCTTCACGCCCTCGTTTGACGACAAGAGCAAGGTCAGCGACTTCCACGTCGGCGGCAACGCCATCGGCGTCAAGAGCGGCCACGCCCAGACCAACTGGCTCTTCCGCGCCACCCTCGAGTCGGCCGACACCAAGAACTGGACCCAGCTCTTCCCCATCGTCCAGCAGAGCGGCCTCGGCCTCTTCTGCGAGCCCTCCGTCGTCGCCCCCGAGGCCTGGGCCGGCAAGCAGGGCATCGTCAGCGTCGTGGCCAACGCCCCAGACGGGATCCTGTACCAGGTAAATAACAGCAATACTCATACCCGTGTGTGAAATGACACCACCCGGACAACAGCTGACCCAACACCCTCCCCCCCTCAAACAGTGCGCCGCAGTAAACTTCGTCTCCGGCACAGGCGCCAGCGCCGGCGACGCCTGCAAGAATGGCACCGCCTCCATCTCCTTCGTCTCCGATCCGGACCTCTCCGGGCTCGTCTCGGGCGGCAGCGGCAGCAGCAGCGGCGGCAGCGGCTCGCCCAACGCGACCGGCTCCTCGGGAACCGGCACCTCGACCACCCCGTCCGCCACCCCGTCGAGCACCAAGAACGCCGCAGCCGGCGTTGCCGCCCCGGCGTCGCTCGCCCTCGTCGGCCTGCTGGGCTTCGCCATGCTGTGATGCGGTTGTGCGCTGGTGTTTGCGGGGCTAATTTGAGGTTTGGCAGTGCCGTTCCGCCTAGGTAGAGAACTTTGGGTTGAGCGTCTGATTATGTATCCTCTGTTTTTGCATTGTATGTAATGTATGATATCCCACGCATCGAAATAGAAGTGTGGTGTTGCCATATCTCACAGTCTCTTGTGTTGAGTCAATCGACCAACTTTGACCTGACTGACCCTCCCTGCGCTTGGTTGGCTCTGCCCAGTTTCCGGAATTGCTTCTCTCGGCTCCGAGTTTGACCGTGGGAAAGAAGCGAAACGACAACGATGACTGGGACGCGGATCTCGAATCATGACATGTACTGTACTGTACGTCTCGCTATTTGAGGTGCATACTCCACCCGGCCACCCAAGCTATCCCCAAACACCCGCAATGACCCCGCTATCATCACGATATTGATACAACCTAACGCTAGGCCACACCTCTCTCCCAGCCTCACTTATCTCCTCAAACCGGTACTCTCTCCCCATGGAGCTCCTCCTTTCCTGAAATCTGCAACTTGCCAATCTCATCGGCGACATCAGCAACTTGCATCTCCACGCCCTCATCATCCAATTCCTCGCCAACACCCCCGCCACCCATCTCCGAGGCAGGCACCTCGCGCCGCTGCCGTCGCCGATGCTTCCGCGCCTGCCGCAAGCCTCCAGGCCCGCCACCGAACACGGCCTCCAAGCTCTGCGGGTCCGACCCGTCGTTGCGTAACACCCAGCCCTGCACCGACCCGTCGTCCGCTTCCTCACCGAGGTCCGTTAACCCGCCGACGGACCGGCTGTCGTACAGGGCAGGTCCGGTGACGACGACCTCGCCGCCGGGCAGGCGGATCTCGCCCGCATCCAGCGTCTCGGCGATGTCCTTGAGCAGCACTTCCATGGGGCACATGTAGGCCACGCGTTTGCGCTCGCTCCACGCGAGGACGTGCCCGCACACGTGGCCATGCTCGCGGTCCACGATCCAGGCGCCGCTGTCGCCGGGGACGCCCATCGGGAGCGGCCGCTGGTGTTCGCCGCTTCTTGCGCCTCTCGTGGATGACGGCCTCGGCGCCGATGGCGTGCCGCTGATCTGGTACGTGTGGCTTGCCGACTGGCGCCCGTATATCTTGACAGAGCTGAGGGTCTGGAGGACGACGCCCGTCTGCAGCCCACTTGTCCTAGCCATGCACTGCACCTCGAGCCCTGGGAGGGCCGACGCTGGGGCTACTGCCGTGGGATGAAGGGTAGGCTCGCCGGGGGAGACGGCCGATTGCTTTCTTTGGCCTTTCGACGCACCATGCGGCCGCGACTTCACGCGGGGGATCGAGTTGTCGGCGGGCAGCCGGTCGTCGTGGAATTCGAAGAGGGCCCAGTCCACTTCGTGGATGAGTCCGTCGTCACACCGCCGTCGAATCCCGCTCGAGGCATAGACTTTGCCCAAGCTGTAGGTATCCAGGTGATCTTCGTCTTGGGTCTCTGGTGAAGGATAGAAGCCTTCCTCGACGTCGTCCAGGGCGGGCTGCGTCACCATATACCCGGCCTCGCAGCCCGGTGAGACGCCCGGGATGTCGCCAGGCTCCCTGAACTGGTCCTCTTCCTCTCCGAACTCGCCATAATCTGATGACTCGCTTGTGAATGCCGACTCGGTATACGAGCCGGAATCGGAATCAGAATCGGAATCCGAGAACTCGCACGCAAAGTCCTCCTCCTCCTCGGCGCCGCTGTTCTCGGCCTCGGAATCGGTGGTCTGGTACTGCTGGGCATACCAGGCTGCCAGGTCTAGCACTTCGCTTTGCTGCCTCGCCATGCTCCGAGGCAAGCCCCTGGTCTCATCCATGTCTTCATCTTGGTCCGGGTCGTCTAGCATGTGATGGACCGTCATTCCGTACGGCTTGTCGTCCACCATGATGACCCCCCCAAAGCTGACGGGCGGCAGGTGTCGGTCCCCGATCCATGCTCCGATGCTGGCTCCGTTGCGTGGCCGCTCCTGGAAATCCGGATTGGCCGCCACGGTCTCGTCTGCGTCTCCACCGTCGTCGGCACCTCCCCTGGCCATGCTTCTTCGACCCACAGCGCAGTTCCTCGAGCGCCGGACCTGCCCCTTGCACACTTTCAGCCCAAACCCCGTGCTTCCGTCAAACAGAACGCCAAGCTTCTGCTTAAGTATGGCCCGGACCTTATTCACGGAGTTGCAAATGACGATGACGGTAGGTTGGGTCTTCAGCGGGGACTCGCCGACGGACTCGAGGGAAATCTCAACCGTCTCGGGGTGCTTGCGGTAGAAATGGCTGAGGGCCATGTTGATCTGTGGCATGATAAATGTGTTCCACTGATCAATGACTTCTGGCCGAAAGCGGACCTGAGGGTAGAGACGCATCTTGGGGGACGGTTTTTTAGGAGTTGGTTCTGCCGCTTCGCGAACTGTGTGTGATTTGACGAATTAGCCAGCCCGAAATACCTATGCAATCATGCGTGCGCACACAGACACACACACCCGCACACACACCCGGGGTGTCTTACCGTCGCTTCTCTTTTGCGTCCCGACGGGCTGCTGCTGGGCAGGGCTGCTTGACGTGGTGGTGCTGTCTTTCCCCCGTTCCAATTTTCCGGCGGCAGGGGCGTTTGTTGCGCTGGCACCAAGGGGCTTCTCGGACTTGCTAGCTTTCGACGGCCCATCTGCTTTGGAAGAGCCAGCTGCCGTCATAGTAGTCAACCACGACATTTGAGATCTGGCCTCGCCGAGGTCGTCGCTCAGCCGCTCCTCGAGGTTGCTGACACCGTCCAGGATACAGCACGCCTCCAGATATCGGCTGGCCCTGAGCTGCGCTCGAGCAATGACTTGTTCACCCCCAATATGACCCTCCATCTCTTGATCCACTGCATTCCAGCATGTCTGCACCGCCTTCGTGTAGAGGGTGCCGCACCGGATGGCGAGTTGTTCGAGGACAGATTCGGGAACCGTGAGCGATGCGGGATTGGGGGCGAGGTCTTCGAGCTTCGTCCACAGCCCGATCGAGAGAAGCAGCATGGCGAGACCGTGGAGGTCGAAGGCCTGCGACTCGGAATTGACTGCGAGCGGGGACCGGATTGTTGCTCGGGGGTCGAGGGGATGCTTGTATAGGGAGAAGGGGCCTGTGGGGGGAAGAGAATTCGCATCCGAGAAAAGGTCGAAGGATGATAGGAGAGGTCTCCGTATGTCCACCTCTCCAGTAGTCAGCCCGCTCACGCCAGGATCTGTACCAACTGCGTTGCAAAAGGAGATGTTCTCGTCAGTGAGATCACCATGGGTAATGCCCCGGGCATGCATGTCAAAAACAGTATTCGCCAAGTTGGAGGCCAGGCGGAACTTGGCCTCTAGTTTCGGCTCAAAGTCCGGACGCGCAAGGAGATCGGCGAGAGAGCAGAGATTGTAGAGCGGATTTTGGGTCAGATGCTCGAATGACACCGGGTTGAATGTCGTAGGGAACTGATAGACCAGGCCGAGGCGCGAATGCTCCATGTCTTCGAAGTAACCCAGGAGCTGGGGAAGGCCGCTCCACGACCCAGGTGACCGCTGTGGTTCTCTCTGTAATCCGGCCGACATCTTCTCGAAGCGAGTCATTGGGGGCATGACGCCGGTCATGGAGTAAATGGGGTCGAAGGCTGCGAACTCCAGGAGGAGGGGCGAGTGTTGCTGGCGGTTAGCCGAACCACTGGTTAGCTCCGAATAGGCCTGCCTGCTCATGAAGACGATTTCTCTCGAGCGTTCGTCCCGAGCGACCTCGGTCATGGGCTCCGCCTGCATGTCGCGCAAGTTGGTCAAGGTTTGAGGGTCGATCAACTGCGGCGTTTGCATCCTGGAGGATTCAAAGGGGCGAAGATCTTCGGCCGAGGTCGTTTTGAAGAGCCGCTGGCGTGCGACTTCGGACGACTGAGCATACGATGACCTCGTCCGCGACAAGTCGTACAGCGTGTCGATGGAGGTGGTCAGGTCCCGGACGAGATCCTCAAAACGCCCCTTATCCCAGACAACCAAGGGAAACTTCTGGTCTCGAGACTTCTCCGACTCGTAGCCCTTCTCGCTCCCCGCCAGCTTCCGAGAACTGTGCCACAGGGGCTCGGCCTCAGCAAGAATGTCCTTAATGGTTGACATGATACTACCCACAACCTCACTCAGGCCGGCCTTGGAGAGGGACGAGTCGATCAAGATCTCGGCCGACTGGCTGGGGTCCGACCACTCAAGGCCCCAGCTGACGAGCCGGTCCTTCTGGATTCGCAGCTTTCTGTGGAGGGCCTTGATCTCTGGGTCTTCGGCATTCTGAACCGGCTCTTTGACGAAGTCTGAGGACTTCTTGGTGTCGTTATAGAGCCTGCTGAGTCGTCTCTGGAAGGGCAGCTGAAAGCCACCCATGGGGATGAAGGAATCCATGCTGGGCAAACCAAAGGCGAGGCCAGAGAATCAAGTTATCTGAACTGAGACTTCCCCACGCTGACACCAGTGTCCTGGGTATCCTGTCCGCCTCCCGTTTCCCACGGGGATGGCGATTCCAGAACCGACGAAAAGAGATTCTGCTGGGAAGAAGTCAAGGGCGATACTGTCGGTTTCGCAAGTCTCCAGAGGCGAGTAGCGCAGCGAGTCGTAACAAGTGCGCAACTCAGATCAACACACGCGATGGGGGGCAGAGAGACGCCAGAGATGCCCAATGATGGATGGCAGAGGTTCAATGCCCAAGATGGAACAAGCGGAGGCAGAAGGCATGGAAGGTAAGAGACGGCAGGAAATGAAAAATGGAAGGAGCAAGGAAGGAATGAGGAAGAGATCCACCCCCCAGGAGCGGCTCCCTTGGTCGTCCAGAGAAGCCATCGCAAACCATCCGTGCGACCAGCGTTATTTCGGTGCCTATCACCAAGCCATTGCTCCACTTGCAATGTATTGGCTCGGTTAACGATCGAAATGCTGTTGCCTGATTCTTGGGGAGCTCCACTGGATGGACGGCCATTTTTTTTACACAAGGCCGCCGTTTCGAATTTCAGCCACAAGTGCCCCGCAGGAGGCGCCCGCAAAACGGCAAAAATGAAAGGTCCTGGCAGGAATCGAACCTGCGTCGCTTGGATCAGAGCCAAGAGTGATAACCCCTACACTACAGGACCCGTTTCTGGTTGACGATAATAATTACGTAATATCAATAACTGTGACAAAAGCAGGAAAAAGGTAAAAAAAGAAAGGTAAAAAAGGAAGGTCCTGGCAGGAATCGAACCTGCGTCGCTTGGATCAGAGCCAAGAGTGATAACCCCTACACTACAGGACCTGTGCTGGTTGACGATAATAATTACGTAATATCAGTAACGGTGACAAAAGCAGGAAAAAGGTAAAAAAAGAAAGGCAAAAAAGGAAGGTCCTGGCAGGAATCGAACCTGCGTCGCTTGGATCAGAGCCAAGAGTGATAACCCCTACACTACAGGACCCTTGCTGGTCTGCTTGATACAAAAGCATCCTAAAACTACTTAATTATAAGCCAACTGTAAAATCTCTCCACAATTAACGGTCACCTAGCTCACAATCCCCGTCCTTACTTTCCGAGATTTTCCCGCAGCTGGACCACCAATAATTTCGATTCTCCTTCCTCGACTTCTTTTCTACACTATTATCAACGCGGCGGGGTGAAGGACCATGTCCTGCCCAAGGCACCCTCACCGCCTTCCTCCGTCCAAACCCTCCAAGCGCCTGCCCTGAGTTGTCTTCTCGTGCGCTGTGTCCATATACTCTGTGTCGAATGGCCTTGTCGTCGGTGGAGCTTTGACCTACCTACCAATGCCAGTATAACTTCTCTCCCGTCTCTGCGTCAGTTTAAAATGGGGGAAAGGAAGAGGAAGGAAAGCGTAAATCAGGGGAATGTCTCTTGGACGAAGGCCTAGTCTCTGCTTGGAAAGGCGCCGAGACAAATAACTAATGTACACGCTGAGACGAAAGAAAACTGTGCGTAACAACAGCAGTAGGTATGTATGCCTCGTTAATACCACACATGCAACCCTGTCGCATCATGCAACGCGCGAAGTGAAACCACCACCTTCAAACTTCTCCATCCCACGCGGCGCTGTCCCTCGTCGGTAAAAGAGGTATCTGCGCGGCGTGTCGGCAATAGCATCTCGGCTCTTGCCAAGAAGAAGGATGTCGGCAAATGAGTTGACCCGGAATACTGCGTCATCGCCTCGGATCTTTGGAAAGAACTCGAATTCATTCCCCTTCGAGTCGTGTCCAGTGACCTTGAATGCAAGCCTCTTCGCGATATCAGCATCAGTTGCACCTTCAGCGTAGGCCTCGGGATGCCTATCGGGTTCCTCGCAAGCTTCAATAGACACGTGAAGTTTGCCATCTCCTGCATCTAAGTCCGGTGGAATAAATATAAAACAATAGCAGATGGAAATCCGCTTAATGTATCCCTGGCCGTTCTTGTCTGCAACGTTGAACGCATATTTCTTCTCGAGGAAGTTACCTCGCTCTTTGTGCCAGTCAGTGACTTTCTTGAGCGGCCCGCCCCTGTTCTTGCGCGGCGGTTGGAAGAGTGCTTGTCGTAGTTGAAACGGGCTGGGGACTGCGAGGTCCTGGTCCTCAAGGCTGGCGTCGTCAATTCCGGTATTCTCTGCAGTGGTAACCGAGCCATCATCCAAGCCCATTAGCGGTGCCAGATACTTGAGATCTGACACGGGAAAGTCTGATACCGTCATCGCGCAATCCAGCTGTTCCAAATCACCGGATGATGCTTGCTGACTCAAAGCAGCAAGAAAGTCATTCTTTTGCTCGGATGCCAGCTCCACCACGTTTGTCAGAAGGGCCGGCATATCTGTTGGCAGGGCGACAAAGTCGCTCACCGTTGTGATCAGCTCTCGCGGCGGGGTGGAGGGCGTCGGTTCGTGGGTTGTGGTCGAGTCTATCGCTGCCCTCTCGTCCGGACAATGGCGCTTTGCGGGCTTGCCTCCGGGCTCGAGGCTGCTGTCACTGATAGTTGAATCTAATACCTCCTCCTTTCTCTTCTCAAATCCTGCTTCCCGTTGCTGAAGCTGCTCCTGACAAAAGAGCTTCGCGGCCTGGCATATGGTGTCGTAAGGGGGTTGTCGATTATTCGACCCTGGATCCCGAGGTTGTCCTGGACTCTTCCGTGGCGGTCCTGGCAAAGCATGTAGTAAGGCCATCAATCCTTTAATAAGCGACCCAGCGACTTGTTCCAACTTTCGTATACCGTCGTCCTCGGGAAACCCTTTACGGGCAAGCCAGATTCGTAGTCCTGGATCTAGGGTCTCTGCTGTCATCTTGGGACATCCGAGCCTCTCAAACCTTGACCGACGAAGGATGAACCCCAGAACGGTGCTCCCCTCAACAAAGTAGGGTGCGCTAGGGTTCTTCAAACCAGCCATCATCGTGGCAAACTTGATGGCTTCGGCCACTCTCCCGGCGTGGTACATATCGACAGACCAACTCTGCAATGGTAGTTCGGGACAGCGGATGTACAGTCGCTTGGCAGTGTTGCCGCCGCCAATGTAGAGGCGGTAAGTGAAACCACGAATGGTCAGCGTGTACCGTTGCTTGCACTCCTCAACAGCAAGGATATTGCTTTCCGCCCGTGGCCCGCATAAGAGAACAATGTTAAGCTGACTTGGGTCGAGTATGGCTCGGTGCCACTTGTGAATCACAGAGCTATCGGATGCCTGGGATGTCGAAAGGTCGGCAGGTGGAAGACCCGAGAAGAGCTCGAAGTCGAAAGTCCAAACGAGGACATTGGTGTCTTCAAGCCCGGATCCTTCTAGGGCCCATGGAAGCTTGACTGTTGGCTGGCTTGATTCATTGGGGTGAGGGTGGCCGATGTCCGTTTCTCTCGCAGTGATACCATAGTCGAGGACAAAACCGACAGGAGCAGAGAGATTGCCGCAAAACATCCTTGGGTCGAGGTACCGTGGCTCGCTCTGCGGCTCCTTGATAGGTGCCTCGAGAGATTCCTTGATGGCCGGGAACAAGTCGGGTCCAACTGCTTGTTGGAGAGCGTCCTCATAAGCCCCGCGTGTCCATGGTGTCTGAGGGCGAACACGAAGTCGTTCGTTTTGGGTCCTGGCACGATGTGATTGGCAGGCCTGAATTTGAGGGTCCTTTGAATTGCCCAGAGCACCAACATGCCTAAGCTTCTTAAGTTCGGAAGTCTTGGCGCTCTGCATCAACGGAGAGATCATGTTGAGTCCACACCCCAGGTTGGCGTGATCAGGTAACTCGTCAGGTAGTGCTAAACAACCGTGATGAGATTGAAAGGCACTGCAGAAGATGGCCTCAAGCATGTTGAAGCGTAGTTGCATCCAGTCATTCCAGTCCTGTGGCAGGGCTGACCAGAGCATGATGAAATTCGCCTGTCGATGTCCGTTGCCAACCCAAATGACAAAGTAGTGCAGAGAATTGCTCTTGTTCAGCAAAATAGACTGCGCGTGTTGGACAATAATGCGCCGCGGCCCCTTGTTGGTTTGACCGCTGTATGGACGGATATACTCGTCATTTCGATCGTCGGTGACATAGTCAAGGTACCCAATGTGTGTCGGCCATGGTTCATGTTGATTCAGGCGAATGGAGTCCAGCGCCTCGCGCGTGACTCTCTGGCCCTGCAAATCCTTGACCTCGGGCCGCATCAACCTGAGCAAGTCGTCGGCCACCAGGTCGACGCCACCATGTGCTTGTATCTCCTCTCGGTAGGGGAAAGAGCGAGACCCCGGAAGCTTTCCATCCACCACGGCCGTCAGGATGCGAATGGTGAGATCTTTCAAGTCGGGGAATGTTATCGGAGGTTGTTTATAGACAGACTGTGGAACATGTTAACAGGTTGAACAGTGAGGGCTGGTCGAGGCCCCGCTTACCACTCGAATATCCTCTGGAAGAGCTTGCCATTCGCCATCATCATGCTTGGCAGTAGGCCGGTCCTTCAAGGCGTGGCCGCAACGTCGGGTTTTCTGACGCGGCCGGCCGAGAGTCGGGCCGGCCCTTTGTTCCCATCTCACGGATATCTAGAAAATCTACAGGTTTATCCTCCCAGTTGCGTCTCCCACGCTCCAACTTCGCATCCATCCCACTCACCCTCACTTCCACACTCACCCTCACCCTCACCTTCACACTCACCCTCACTGCAACGCCTCTGCCGCACGTGCATGCCGTATACCCCTCCCGTGGGCTTCACCGACACGGACGAGGGCTTCACCGACACGGACGAGGGCTTCACCGACACGGACGACGCGGCCAGGCTCGTGGCGCTGCCCTGGACCTGGCGAAAAGGAACCTAGCAATCTATGTTGTCTGCAAGGGGGTGGGCCGGAACGAGCTACCCATCTATCCATAAACCCTTCCCACATACGCGATGCTAATTGTCGTATGCAGAAACAAAAGCTCAACTTGACTTACGATGACGGGAAGAATTTGGAAAACAGACGAATCACTGACTTGCAGCCTAGATTTGATGTTCTAGGATCTTGCCAGTCTCTTCCTAACCATCTCACTTGAGGATGATAGTTGTGATGCATGTGGCTTGACTTTTGCACTGGGTGTTTTTTTCATGGCCAATAAGGCATTAGTTAAAATAACTTGATCCTAGGTAGGACCTTCTTTAGCAGCTTAGCAGGTCTGGGATTGCTTATGAGTATACTGGCATAATCAATCAAAGCATTGGGAATTCTAGGGACTGCTATTGGGTGCTTATCAACAAGGTCCAAACAGGTGCCGCCCAAGCTGTGGATCTGGTCGTAGCTATTATAACTTGTCACGTTGAATGCTCAACAGTTAAACCACTAATAGGCAGTTGTAGAGAGGGCTGAGAACCAGATGACAACTACTCACTAGGGCACGGTCGGCATATCAACACTGGGAGGCCTAGGGCCAAGGCTTTCACAGTGGCTACTCGGCAGCTGATGGCAGGTCCCATCTACTTCCTCGCTTCTAGTTCCTTTTACTCCTTTCATCCAATAATCATCCAATAAAGAGCAACAGCAACAGGAGCAGCGATACACAATAAACAACGATTATCACGGCAATATTGATATTCATAGTCAAAATAGCATCAACAGCGACAACACTGGCGACAGTAGGCAGGTCTCCTAAAACATACCAGCGCCTGGAAAAAAAACCTGCCAGTCCCTGCGGTACGGTGTGAGAAACAACCCATGCGCGTTCTCAACAGAAAAGAGTCACAACTTCCCAACTACTGACGATCTTTTCTGTCTGCCCATAATATTCTCAACCTAAAACGTCGCCGTTCGAAGGGAGGTGAGGATGACGATCAGAGACGGGAGAAACACCGGGGGGAGGGGACGTGGAAAGGGAAAGGGGGGAAACCGACCTTGCATCTGACGCGACAGGCCACGAACGTGGGGATATCTAGATCGATCAGCAATGCAAGTCAGCACCTGGAAGAGGAAGTGATTGTCGAGTTTCCCCCCGGATCAGCCTCCATCAGCCCCCACTGACCTGCCAGTGCGGCTGAATGTCAGATTCCACAGCATTTCCACGTTGGCGTCGAGGAGCGGCCTCTTCCTTCTACCTAGAAGGTATTCAACAGGGTGTGAAACTGCACCAATCTTTTTTGGAGCTTTCGAGATGCACAAGCTGGGAGCGAGCGTGGGGGCCTTAATTGGGGGCAGCCCTCGTCCTTTCATTTGTTTCAGTATCGTTGGGCAAACGCATTGCTGCGTAGTAATCTGGCCAGGCAGAGACCCAAGGTCCTGCTGCCAACGGTACGAATGATCCTTCAGTGACCCTGTCCAACTTCCACATTCCTATTTGGACAGCGAATGTTTCGAGAGCCATCAAGTCAAGGGCCCAGATGTCATAGTGGTAATCCGGATGGGGCCTTGCCTGTGCGATGAGACGAGCTTTCTCCTGTCTTTTTTTCATTCTTCGTCTTGCCAATGTTCCATCTTGACGAGCTCTTAGCTGGTGAATGGGCATGTTTCGCAACAGGGATACATTATGTTGCTGGGCTAATACGACCTCGGATGCTACCGCATTCAGGGTGACAATTGATAGCCAGTCGGGGGTTTTTACACGCCACATCGGTACCGGGGTCGGAAAGATAGCGCCTGCATCCCCGTCGGGGGACTTTCTTGTTTGGTTTCTTGGCTTCAAGGGATGCTGGGAAGGGCGTGACAGCCGACTGGACGCCCCCTACGTCGCCAAGCAATTTACGCCATTCAAGCTTTGCTAGGCAACAATGCAACGTCGATGAAGGGGGACATCATGGAGATGAAGACAACATGGATAAGCTAGCAATATGATACGTACCTAAGCTTCAATCCAATCAGCGGAAAATGAGGTACCATCCCTGCACAACGAACTGCAATGGTTACAGGGGATGACTGGCGACCATGTGTGTCTAAGTGAGACGGCCGTTACTACGTGTGCGTAAATGGTCCAACCTCTCATAGGCTACCTGTTTTGTGACGCCCCCTTTTTTCATCTCGGTGCAGCTTCCCAAACTGTGCCTCGACCCTGCACTTGCAGCGAGGCTGGATCAGTCGTTCGCACTGTTCCGCTGTGTAGCACTGTTGTATGTATGTACTGTACATGTACGTATGGACGTGTGAAGACTCTCACCGAGCAGCCGACTCGGCTGCCACGCCTCGTGCCTGACCCTGGCCGGCATGATGATGATGATGGCGCAGTCGGGGAATAGGAAAACGGCCGACTAATTAGTGGGAACCGATATGGCACTTGTGCATTGAGCCATTATTATGGGATACTTATTTGTGTACAATACATCATCCCTAGCTCCTCGATCCTGCGTCAGGAGAAGAATCCAGTGGATACGAGGAAGCGCAGAAAGCCAGGACATCGAACGCCAAGATAGTATGAAAAGGAGATTCTGTGCAGAAGTCGTCAATTCATCGCCCGACTTGCACATTTAGATACACTTGCTTTTGAGCAGGTCTATTTGTACAGGTCTCATAGTATAAATAATATTCCATCATCTTCGTAATCCCGCAGGGAACCAGAAAAGGAGGCGCGCAGATCACTTTTTTTCTTTGGGTTTTTGTGCTCGGTATATGCGACTGAAATACATGCATGGCCGCGCCTTGCGTACCGTCTCGTCGGCCAGTGTTTCCTCGGGTATTTGACCGACTGTAGAATGGGAATCAAGGGGTGGACAAACGCTGCCCGTGCTGCTGGTGCTGGTCACCGCTTCGGGCCCAATCGCCGCGTTGATTTGCCTTGGAGTATTCGATGCTGTACTGCACCGTCTTCTGGATGCCCGTCCCGTTCTTGACCGGATTGCTGGGACCCTCGATGTCCTGCTCTATTGCAGAAGCATGTTGCTCTTGTTGCCGCTGATGTTGATGCTGCTGCTGATGCTGCTGCTGCTGGCTCTTGTCCTCGTGCAGGATGTATTCTTCGGAGCTCTGGTCTCCTTTGCGGATCGTGGTCAGGTTGATGCCCTCCTTGCCGTCAATGCGAGCCCACTCTGACGGCTCGCCCCTGTCCTGGCTGTGGCTGCTGAAGTATCCCTTGGCGGCGTAGCCCGAGGCCGGGCCGCTGTGGGGGTCGTAGCCGTAGCCGTACTTGTTGCGGCTGCTGCTCTTCGGCATGAGCTTGGGGAAAACCCTGACGATCAGCGGCCGGACCATGGGTAGACACGCGCAGACGATGGCCACGTTCATCTCGATCATGGTCCACATGGTGCTGCCGATATCAAACGTCGTGTCAGGAGACTTGGCGGCGATGTCGATCGTGGTCATGCGAAGGCACGAAGTGATGACGACAAACCCGCCGAGGGCGAAGACGAGGACCAGGGCAATCTTCTGGATGCGGGGGATCTGGAGCTGGTAGACAAGGGGCATCGGCATCAAGAGGATGAGGAGATCAGTGGCGACGCTGAAACCGGCGTTGGCATACCAGAAATGGGCGATGTTGATGCAGGTGCCCGGGATCAGCTTGTTGAACGCGCGAGAAATCGGGTTGCACTGGAATATGGTTGCCACAACCGAGGCAATCGCGTACATGGCGACACAGGCGGTCAGGATCCAGCATGCCCGCTTGAACCACTGCACACTGCCAAAGATGCGGCAATATAGCAACAAGATGGAGCACTTGGTAAGGTTGATCGACGTCTTGTAGGTGATTTGTGTGAGGTAGAAGTACTGAAGCGGCCCGTGTTAGTTGAAATCAACAATCGGAGGGGAGACGCCGTGGCAATGGCTATTTGGCTGACCTTCAGAGCACCGATCTTGTTCTCAGGGGTGAGGTTCGCGGCATGTTGACCGAAGCCGTATTGGCAAGCTATAAATCGATTCCGCGGTTAGGATCTGAATATGACTGGCCAAGGTCTCAAATTGGTCTGGAGAGCAGTCGAAAGACTTACATGCAATCATTAGACCGCTGGAAGCCAGTGTAAACCCCTGAGATGCTTGTTACTACTTGAGAGCCCACGCGTCTGGAAACAGAGCAAGAAGACTTGCCAGGGAAGCAATAATGCTGTAGTCATCAGAACCAAGTTTTCCTCCCTTGCGGAGTCGAGACCATATTCTCAGGCCGATGAGCAGCGGACAGATAATCGAGAAGACGACGATGGGGACGTAGATCATATGGGCCCTGGAGGGACCCTCCTGATTTGGAGCGATCGTCATGATAACAGTGATCGAGTATCAGATCTCACGTCGGCGATTGAAGGTCTATGCCCGACCCTAGTGCCTGCTCCAGGAACAGCAACGGTTTGCGGTGGTCCGAGAAGGAAGAGGAGGAGGTAAGCGGACTGGACCAGGGTCCTACCTGGCCTTTGTAAACAGAGGAAATGAGCGAGGCGGGCTAAGACCGGGGATATGGGGATGGCTCAAGTTGCGGAACAGCAACACGCCGGAGAAAGAAACGACAGCAACGGGTCGCGGGGAAAAGGTATATATCTCATAGCATGAGGGCATATGCGGGGGTGGGTGCGAGGTGCTGCGTCCACATCGATATCGTCCAGGTTGGCGGTGCTCACACCATCTGGGCAAATGCCTTCCAGGTTCCTCAGTTCGACGCAATATAGTGAGCCAAGTCAGGTACCCAGCGACTTGCCTGCTACCCTCATCCGTAAACCAGAAGCAGGGGAGACCTCGCGCAGCAGGGGGGGTGGGGGACGGGGGGTGGGCAGTCGGTCGAGAAGGAACAAAAGGGAAGGAGGGAAAATTAAGAAAAAAGAATAAGCAGAGACCAGGCTGCGTGGCTTGGGTTAGGCGGCCGAATGGTCAATCTATTCCAGCGCGAGAAGAGCGTTCCATGCGTTCTTAATGGCGGGCTAAGAGACCCAACAGCACCAACGCTAATCTGCAGCTGGGATCGGCAGGCCGATGTTGGTTCTCTCGGTCCCGCCCACATATTTGGAGATCAATGCAAAGTGCAAGCCCACTCGAAAGCCACTCACTGCTGCCAAGAGCCTTGATTACGTGACAACGTGACAAGATCGCACAAACGCAGTGTATATGCGTGAGGAGTGTGCAACAAAGGCATTGAGACAGCTTGGCGACCGCCTTCCAACAGCATGGCGAGAAACAGGGGTAGAGGGAAAATAAAAAGGCGAGCCGAAAAGCCGTTCGCGTTGTACACTCACGCTGTATACCCACTACGGAGTACAGACTTGCTTGTCCCCGATTTTCGAGATCGACATCGACACCAGGAAAAAGGAAAATAAGAAGAGCGAGAGGGGCCATCGTGCAAGTTACCCCACATCTTGACAACGACAAGCGGCCAAGGCTGGGAAAGTAATTGGTTCCAAAATTCCATCACATGAACGGGAAACCGAGTCAGAGCAGTTCTGATGGGTAGGTTCAGGCCGAGTCGAAGTTCGAAGCAAGCCGGGGATTGACCACATGTCGTCAGGTTTAACCTAGGAAAGCACTACTTGCACGATACACTAGCAGTGGGCTTGCACTAGCGTTACCGGATGCCAATTGCAGTTAAGTTGGGCACATCAATCTACGGGCCCCCTGATCAATGATCAGCAAACAAGCATGGTGGAGCGGAGTGGGCCGATCTGCCAACCTCAATCCAACCACGGCCACCCAAGCCAGTAAGGTACCCCAGAAAAGCCGCAAAGGTTATCTGGTATTACAAGTACAAGCGCGGTACGTTAGCCGTGTAGACTTGAATCCACCAAACATCAGGTTTAGCAGCATGCACTGAACTCTTTATGTTCTCCACACATGCTCATCTAGGAAGGAACCTGGCGACGGGAGGTATGTACCTGACCTCTAGGTGCCACCCTCACGGCCCCTGGACTTGTTCCGTACTGCGGTAAGCTGCAGCATTTCATGGGAACCCTGGTTGGCCTGACTCATGTAGAGAAACGTTGTACTGGAACTGGAGGATGGAAAGAATCCATGAAAAAACAAAATGAAAAACACCCATATTGCAAATACCGAACGACTGCCAACGCCACAGCCACTCACCAACCTGGTTGTTGCTTGCGATGATGGGTGCGAAACTGCTGCTTGCAACCCAATAAAACCCCGCTTCTAGCCAATGATGGCCTCAATTGATCCTTCGGCCAGGGTTCCATGCCGGGATGGTCCAACTAGAAATGTCCTCACCGATTCTCGGCCCGTCGCCGGCAGGGACCTGGGACGACCCCACGGCCTACAATACAACCCTACACCAACAGCCCGTCTCCGTTGCATCGGCCTTTTTCTCGTTGTTTTTTTTTTTTTCAACCCGCCGTTCATACTCGGTACGAACAACTCTGCAGACACTAACCAGTTTAATCTGTCGACCCCCATTTCGGGCACTACTTCCGAGGCACCTTGGCCAACCCCTGCTCGCCGTTCCGCCCCTTTTCCCACCCCTTCCTTCCCTTGTCTTCGTCCCCTTTGTCCCCCACCCTGGGTATGATTATGTTATCCTTACCTAGCCATGGTGCATGCGTCCTGTCAATATTTGCCATACAGATCCGTTTCAAGGATCAAACCGCCCTATCCCTTCAGGAAACAGCCCCGGCTGCAATACATTGAAATCGTGCAGCTACGTTCTGCTAGTGCTTCCCGCTGCTATAAGGACTGACGGTCGAGACTCCTTTATAGTGCTTCCATCACTCGTTCCATGGATCTGCAGCTTTCTCTTCCGATCTTCATCATTTCCCCAAGTGGTGTTCTTTCGTTGGTGTTCCTTCCCGGCTCCCATTCGTTCGAGAAGCAAGCTTGTGCTTGGATCACAAGCCCTCGGCCGCATATAGAGCCACCCTGTATTCGGTGGCGTCATCATCCGTGGGAGAAGAGAAGAATCCAGAGAGAGAGGAGAAGAGTGAGAAAATATGTCGGCTCTCGAGAAGACATCCGGCGAGCACGCCGTCACCACCACGGGTGTCCACGATGCCGAGTCCAACTCGGTCGACAAGGTTCCGAACTCGCCAACCGATCCGGACTTCATCGACCCTGCCGCCGAGAAACGGCTGCTGTGGAAACTGGATCTGACCATCTACCCGATCCTCTACATCGTCTACATGATGTCCTTCCTGGACCGGATCAACATCAGCAATGCCAGAATCCAGGGCCTGACGGGCGACCTGGAACTCACCGGCAACAGATTCAACATTGCCCTCTTCGTAAGCTCCTGAATCCGGCGCCCCTCCTTATCCCAAAGGCCAGGACGAACTCCCGCAGGCGGAATCGGTGGTTGCTGACAGTGTCTTTAGGTCTACTTCATCCCATACATCCTGCTCGAGGTACCCAGTAACATGCTCATCCGCAAGGTGCGACCGTCGTTGTACCTGGGCGGGCTGATGTTCTGCTGGGGCGTCGTCAACATGGCCATGGGCTTTGTCCACTCGTACGCCGCCCTGGTGGTCCTCCGCTTCTTCCTCGGCGCCTTCGAGGCCGGCGTGCTCCCCGGCATCATCTACCTCACCTCCATGTACTACAAGCGCCACGAGTTCCAGACCCGCATGAGCGTGCTCTTCAGCTCCACCCTCATCGGCGGCGCCTTCGGCGGCCTGCTGGCCTACGCCATCGCCCACCTTGGCGGTCGCGAGGGGTACGCCGCCTGGCGGTGGATCTTCATCATCGAGGGCGCCATCACCGCCTTCATCTCCTTCATCGCCGCCTTCCTGATCGTCGACTGGCCCGAGCAGTGCAGGTACCTCAGCGCCGAGGAGAAGGCCCTGCTCAAGCGCCGCCTGGCCGCCGACGGCTCCAAGTTGTGCCGCATGGACAAGCTCGACAGCCAAGCCACCAAGTTGATCTTCAGCGACTACAAGATCTGGCTCGGGTGAGTGATAATCACGGCGGGGGGGGGGGGGGGGGGGGGGGGGGGGGGGGGGGGGGGGGGGGGGGGGGG